TTTCTTAAAAACCATTCCCACATGTTTTGCGCACAGCCCTGCAACTCTTTCGCCCACTAGGCTACCATAAGTTGCAATAATCATAAAAATTGACCATAATAAAAACCAATGAGACGAGAAAAGAAGCAAGAACTTGTGCGTTTCCCAAAACTCCTTACCACGACCTAAGCTCGGCACCCTTTTTTATTTATGTTTTGTTTTTTAGTTGGCCAGAAACCCCTTTCAGTCAATTAGTCGACGACATGGTCCTTTGTCCGTTGCGCGTAGGACGTTCGGGCGCAAATGCGAACAATGAAAGCGAAAGCGTTCGCAAACCCTTTTTTCACGAAAACATCGCGCCGTCCGTTTTATGGCGCGTTAAAAAACGCGCGCGCGTACCTGCGCGTCTTTCTCCGAAACGTTGACATTGTCGAATGTGCATTATGCAATAAAACATTTTACATTTCGCCGTGCTCTTTTTGTTGTTGTTTTTTAGGTAACACTCTTGCCTATGGGCGGGCAGGCCGGCCGGCCGGCCGCAACCCGTTCGGGCGCGGTTACCTAGCGCGCTATTAAAAAACTGCCCAAGGACACGGCCAAAGGTAAAGGATTGCACAAATATTGCATCTTTGTCAGCAGCCTCATTATTACGGACAGCAATCAGCAGCAGAAGCAGGAATATGAGCAACAGCAGCGCAGTATTTTATGGCCTTTCTATTTTTTGTTGGTTAAGTTTTTCGCTGAATTCGCTGTCGAGGCCGAAACTGGCAACTCTTTGGCTCGAAGCGTCTTTTTATGGCCAACAGGTAAGCGAAGGCTCAATGAGCCTGAATCTGAGCCTCAACCTGGACCTCGGCCGGTACATGTGTGGCTTGCGTTTTTAGCTTAATCCACCATTTTTACGGTTGGATTAGCATTGGATTAACATAAGCTCGCGGTTTTTTGCTATTCTTCAAGGAATCTAGGGAAAAATGTTATTTTTGCTTGCTTGCGTCACTTATTTTCAATGAAAGGTCGCCAATGTCGATTGCTGTGAATGACCAGCAAGGATTGCGGGGTAAATCATGACCAATTAAGTAATATACAGTGTTTTTTTTTTTGAACTGCTATAAACAATTTCATAAAGCATTTTTATGTTGTACACACAAAATTATGAAAACAATTATTTATCACAAACACACTTGCTTTTTTTAAATCAAATTACAAGCAATTATTTAAAAAACAATTTGATAATGCCCCCGATATAGAAAATGAGAAGACAAGCTAAAAATATAGTTAATTATTTGTATTTTATTTATTTGGTATTTTAGCGTTATTGTTAGGTAACTTTAAAAGGTTATTTGTTTATCGTAGCAGTTCTTAATATTAAATGTGGGTGTTTTTTAACTTATCTAATTATTAATATGCATTTAAAATTTAGGGATTACAAATAAACAAAGAAACGACGAGTGGATGTTAAGCTAAGTTTCTGGAACTATGGATTAATATTGGGGTCTCCTGAACACACATATTAAAATATTGAATTATAAAAAGAGAAGAATCAGCAGTGAAAAGTGTACAGCAGTTGAAAATTAAGTATGATAATTGCCAAATACTATATACACAGGTCAACATTTTAAATCGTCCACCTGGGACGGAGATCAACTTTGGGTTATATTTTGAAGAGGAAATAGATAATTAGCTGAATGTATATATTTCCGCAATCCGCCATGTTTAATCTTTGATTGAATTGCATTGAAAATGGTCTAATATAGTATACCGCTTAGCTACAATTGGCGTTTGAATTACTTAAAGTCAAATGTAGATGTCTTTTATATAACTATTCAGGATATGTAAAGTTGCAGGCACTTTTAGCCTTTCATTCATTATCTGGTGCCCCGAGTCAGACATCTAATTGAATTTTAAAAAATATAACTTTAGTTAGTAAGAAGAAACCAAGACTATTTAGCTACATATTTCGTGAGTTAATAGACAACATAACTTGTTTGCTAATGTACCATACACGAATCGGAAGGATAATGATCTTGTCAAGTGGAAAACAATTCTGGCGGTCAATTTATATTTTTAATCCTTATACATACATATGTTGTGTATATTTAAGTATATACAAGTAGATGTATATTAGGATGACCACTTCCGCTATGTTCGACTGTCGCGACGTTGTATAAACCAAAAGGAAAACAACCCATCCAGTTCGGGCAGTTAGAGAAACAGTTAAGTAAAGTTAAATAGAGGCTTAGATGGCGTGCCCGACATCGACATAAACATCGGGAACAGCAACGGCAATGGCAACGGCACCGACACCGGCTTCGCTGTCGGTATCCCACACTCAAGAGTTGGGCAGCGGAACACAACAGGATGTGCCAGCCAAAAAGTAAACATTTGAATGGGCACTTGTCATTTTCATTTCATTATCGTTATAGTCGACAGAGTCGTATGTAGTCTTCGCTAACAACAACAACATAGCTGGTTGACTGGTTCGAAATCAATCGAATGACCTTTGTGTTGTTTGGCATTTTTGCAATTTTGGCCTCCGAAATTAGAGTAAGTCCGCCAGTGTGCCTGTTAAGCTACTGTCAGAGTTGCTGGTGATGTCCTTGCTGGCCAGCGGCCCAAATTCCAGGAAGTTAGTTTTGGGACGCTGGAACTAGTAATGGCGCGTAATGTACGCGTTTAGGGCGTAAAAGAGGTAGGGAAAGGATGCGCTAACGCGAAAGGCTAGCCAACCTAATTTTCATAATTTGTCACGCACAATCATTTGTGTAAGATGCGCACAAAATTCGCAAACACACACCCTATCTGTTTGCGTATGTATGTGTGTGTGTGTGTGTGTGTAGTTGGACCATGTTAAGCCCGGCATTGGGCTGGCCAGTGTATCCGATTCGGACACTCGGACATAAGCAAAAGGATTTTGAGACAAAAGCGCAAACAAACGGATTTAGCATTCGCATTCGCAACCCTTAGCCACCTACTCTACGCGTTGTCTCAACCCAGTCAGTCAGCCAGTCAGTCAGTCAGTCGTCCGTCAATCAGTGAGTCAGTCTGTCTTCCACTGACTTCCTCCTCATTCTCTATATGCCTCTCTCTCCCTCTCTCTCTCTTCCACTGCTCAGCTCCCTGCTGCGTCGGCGTTTGCAGCGCGCGTTTTACCGTTAAAGCCAAGGGCATGTTTTGCCATTTCTAACTGTGTTAGTTGTTTGGTAATCGCTCTAGGGTTTCTTCTGGGAGCCAGCAGCAGGAACAACAACAGCAGCAAATACGAATAAATACTATGTAATGTAAATAAATAAATTTGTATGTACTACATATACATACGTGTATGCCCAAACACATATAAATTCATTTGAAATATATTCGTATATAGTTTAGTTTTAATGGAGAACAAACGAACGCACAATTTAGTTGATAAGACAAAATAAATCAAAATATAAACGACATGTTTGCTCGAATTTGATTACTACATTTATTATTTTATTATTATTTAAATTTTTTTTAATTTGTTATCCGTTTTATTGGTGGCTTATAATGAATTGATTTCGTTTTAGTTAATGTAGCCTTTTATAATTTAAAGAACCTTATACAAACATATTAGTGAGAAAAGAAATATTTAGCTTTTTATGATGCAAATTATAAATCAGTTCATCACTATATGTTTCCAATTCCTCTGTTACAGTTTTACCTGAAATACTTACAATTTTTTACAGTGTCTATTGGGACCCTAGCTGGGACAAGCAGTTCTTCAAGTTCCAGTTCTTCCAGTAAAAAAAAATGCAATCTAATAGTTAATAGACTTGGCCTTTCTCGCTCCCTGGTCTCATATAGTAAATTGATTTCCTTATTTCTAAACAAACATATTCACATCTATATTAACATATGTCATAAAAGTGTTCTATCATATTTATATTTTTTATATTTTTGCATCATTTAAATTTTAAATTTATTCTAAATTTTTTGGAAATTTGATTTTGTTCTCTTATGACTAAGTTCTTAAGTTTTCCTTTCTGGGTAACTGACGATCTACTACTTATATTATTGAAAACTTTTTGTGCGGCTTCATATAATATCAAGTATTATATTCTAAATTTTTTTTTTGAAATTAAACAGAGTATAAGAAACAAACTTTCTTTTTGCATTTCCACAATCTGTTGGAGAAAAATGTCATTAGTTGGTTATGCTTCATACGGATGGGGGACATACATCCCGATCCTTCTTCCAGTTGACCAGATTGTTTAATCCTTGTTGTTAATCCTTTTCGTTAAAAAAAAAAATCAACTACAAATGTAAAAGCCTTTCCCAAAAAAAGAAAAAAAAAACCATACTACACAATAAAAAATGCCACAGCCAAGAAATACAAGAACTGCAGCAAATTACGCTAAATGGCGAAAGAACAATACAAAAAGTAACAATTTTCGCGAAAACTGCATAAATCGAATGCAAAAAGGGTCAAGCGACGCTAATGTTGAAGACATCAGCAGCGACGTCAGCAGAGCTGCAACTCTCAACCCTCGTAAAACCCTTTGATGCTTAGAACGGCGCACTTCCTCAACTCAAAGACGCAGTACGATGGAGAGGGAAAAAGAGAGAGAAAGGGACAGTGAGTGAATCTATTTTCCCTCACACTAAACAGGCACCGGACCAGGGTTCGGCTTCAACTTCGGCTTCACCCCTTTGCTGTTTACTACGGTCAGCCTACCTGCACGACATTGTTCGGGAAATGCGCTCGGAATCGGCATCGGCTCGGCCATTGTTGTTGCTCGGAGCGAATGCAATGGAGAATGAATGAAGAGAACGACCGACGGTGCGGGCTTGTGCGTCGGCGTGGATGCGTATAAAAGGCAGTGGGAATTGCGTGGACAAATCAGTTTGCGCTTGACACCGTTAGCGACAAGAACGAAGCAACGAAATCGACGTTAGCGACAGCAAAAGCGGACTGTCATTGACAAAACATTATTCGGATTTACGATAAAATTGTAATTTGAAGCATAACCCTAGCATTGGATTAACATAGAGTCTTAGCCAACATGTTGATGCACGAGAAACTGATTACTGGGCAATTTTTTGACCTAAAAACTGGTAAGTTAGACACGCCCCTTAAGCCGATGCGTGAGCGACTTACTAACGATCTCTCTTACTTCCTCTCTTCAATAGATCGCAAGCCTTTGCTGCACCACCATCATCACCACCACCAGCTGCAGCACAACCAATTGCAGCAGCCTTTACTTCATCAGCAGCAACAACAACACCACCATCATCATCATCTGCACCAACAGCAGCCACAGCCGCAATCTCATTTGGCGCTGCCAAAAATGGATTTGTACACAGCCTATGCCTATCAGCAACAGTTGCTGGGCAGTGCAGCCGCTGCCGCCGCTCTGAGCCAGCAGCAGCAGCAACAACAACAACACCCCGTGGCCGCTGAAGTCCTCGATCTGTCGCGTCGTTGTGACTCCGTGGAGACACCGCCACGTAAGACGCCCTCACCCTATCAGACGAACTACAGCTACGGCAGTGGCTCACCCACAGCCTCGCCCACCGCCATACCCAGCAACTTGCTCTATTCCGCCCAAGCTGCAGTTGCCGCTGTGGCCCAACAGCAGCAGCAGCAGCAACAACAACAGCAGCAGCAACAGCTAGCCTCGCTTTATCCAGCGCTCTATTATGGCAACATCAAGCAGGAGCCTTCGGTGGCCAACGGTACGCCCAAGGCAGCCACGGCTAGCCTATTACAAACGTTCGCCGCCGCTTCGGCTGCAGCTGCAGCCGCTGCTGCCTCCTCATCGCCTCGTCCAGCATCCAATGCCAGCACCATGCAGATCGATGTACTCGAGGCGCCACAGTCGCCCCCAGCACAGAATAGCGATGTGTCAGCCACCGCCACCTCCTTGGTTGCCACCACGCCCACCAGCAGCACCACAAGCACATTGCCCGATGCGGTCAAGAGCACGCGGCCCTTCAAGGCCTTTCCACGTGATCCGCTGGTAATTGCCGCAAACTTTGCCGCCACTGATGTGCTCCTCGATAATCCTCGCGTCGAACGCTACACTGAATATCGTAAACGAGTGCTGGAACAGATTCGCAGCTCTAATGGTGGATCACGCACAGTGACCAATCCAAAAATGCGACGCACGAACTCACGCAGCGGCAGCGTCAATGAGGGCTCCTCATCCAACAACAACAGCGAGAGCGAGGATCGTGCCGCGGCCGAGGAAAGCAGCGATTGTGACTCGCATGCGGGTAACTTTGAGAAGTTGGCTGCAGGCACGGCTGCTGTGGCAACCAATGGCAGCAGCAATAACAACAACAGCAGCAGCAGCAGCAGCAACAACAACAGCTCGACATTCAACTCAACCAGCGGCCAGGGACAGATCAAGGATGCGGCCTATTATGAACGACGCCGCAAGAATAATGCCGCGGCCAAGAAGTCCCGCGATCGCCGCCGCATCAAGGAGGACGAGATCGCTATACGTGCCGCATATCTGGAGCGTCAGAACATTGAGCTGCTCTGCCAGATCGATGCCCTGAAGGCGCAACTGGCCGCCTTCACCGCCAAGGTGGCGGCTGTCTAGCTGTCCTACCAACCCTAAGATCGTTGCATGTTGCGTTGAACGCGTGCGAGCTCATGTGTAGTGTTGAGGTGTAGTGTTTTTTTTTTAATACCTTATTAGTTTCGTTTAGTTTTGGGGCAGCTTATCTGTGAATACTTTCCGACTTGATTACTTCTCTAAGGGACGAACAAGCAAAACAAGAGAATGGGATTGAGAGAGAACATCAAAATCTTTTTTTTTTTTTCATATCTATAAGCACTAAACAATTAATTGTAAGTCTTTGGGCTTTTAGCTGCGCGTACATTTAAGAATTTAGTTTTAAGTGGATCTCGGAAACTCACCAGTCAAATAATACCTATATTAGTTTTTCGAAAATATAAATACATATATTTAATAACATTAATTTTAGAACATTTACTATTTTTTTGATACCATAAGAAAATAAATATTTTACAAACAAACTCAATTTTCTCCCTAATTAATTTTTATGAGTACCTTTCAGCTTTCCACCTGGAATTCAGAGAATTACAGAATTGTCAACCAAAAGCCAACTATATTAAACCGTATGTGAATATACAAATTAATTGTTACTGAATAATTTGTTGATACGTTGAATCAGACTTCATTCAAAACAGAAGCCACTCATTTTCGGGTTTGCTAGATTGCCGAAAAGTAGACTCGTTTTAAATAAAATAAATACGGCAAGCAGTTCTTAGCTGCTTTCTTCCATGTGTGACCTTCACTTGATGGTAGAAACGGTCACATTAATTTTCATATACTGCCACCTAGCGTTCAAATTAGCAACCGGAAACTATACGTTGATCTTTATTTGTGCATCCAATTTATCTTCTTCAGGACCAGGTTGCCAATTTTTACGTGTTTAAAAAATCAGAGAACGTGCACTAATGACAGCCAACAACAAAATATTAAAGAACGAAGACTCTGCCTACCTATTCCATTGTTTATTCTTTAGACAAATTCACGACCCTGGTACTTCACATCGGGTACTTCTGGTACTAAGCTTCTGATGACTTCTGGCCCAAATAATTTCCATTTACAAAGGCGGGTGGAGCAGCCTCTTAGTGCTCATATTTACCATCAAAGAAAATTCATTCGACTGAAACTATAGATTTTTTGTGAAATATTTCAAGACCATTGTGGGTTAAAATCGCGAACGCCGTCCCATTTTTAAATAAATAGACAGAGATAATTAAATTTTTATAGTTTTTATTTTTTTTCAATTTTATTTTGTTTTTATTTTTTTGTTTGTTTTTTTTTTTTCGTCAACCCCTCCGTTAATACTAAATGTACGCATTAAAGGTAAAATATGTTACTTTTGAATTCTTAATGTTTGTTTGTTTGTTTTAAATTTACGCTTACCAAAAAATTGTTATATTTGTGATGCTTCTGAATGTTTAGTTCATATTATTTAATGTATTATGTACCGTTCGTCCAAACTAATATGCTCTATACGCATATTCTGCACGATACATACATATATGTACATGCGTATGTATGTATGCATCATGTATGTAGCTTCAGTTTTAGCTTTCAGTTAATATACTTCTCGTTATTAAGGTATTTAGTTCGTATGTTTATACTTCTAGTAAGTTGTTTCATTTGTTTTAAGAGTTAGCGGTAGGCGCTTAAGGCTAAATCGTTTACTAAAGTGATTTGAAGTGTTTTTTCGCTATATGTTACAATTGGTTTGCTTGCTTTCCTCTTTTCATTTATATTTTTATTTAACAAAAATTACAACAATTAATAGCTAGAATGCGATCGCTAGGCCGCTCTTGCTCAAGTGGACAATTTGTTTTAAAGAGTTGTTTGTTTGTTTTATGCAGAGAATGTTGGAATTAAATGTTGTTTTTGTTTTTGTTTTCGTTAATTTAATTCACGCCGCCAATTAGCTTGGCTCTCAAAATAAATATATATGTATATATACTTATTGTATGCATATATGTAGGTATGTATGTGTAAATTGAAGGTATTTAGTGGTACAATTAAAAACTGTGTTCATTTTTATCCTTGTGTATAATTTTATTTAATTTTTTTTATATATATTTTCTCTGTTTTCATTTTTATTTAAATGCTAAAATTAAGTATAAAAAAATGATTTCGCTTTTATACTGTATTATACATACATATTTATTTATAAATAGTAGGTATATGTTGCTTTAAAACTAATTTACACAGAAAGAGGTGAAGATACAAGCATATAATAACAACTAATGGTGTGTTGAATTTTTAATTTTCTTTTTTTGTTTGTTTATTTTTGTTTGTTGTTACATGATTTATAGCACGAATGCATAATTTGTTACGTCACAAAACTTACATGGATACACTACTACTTATCGATCAAAATTATTCAACACATTATTCTGATCGCTGTATATACAAAATTATCAATTTTTCACAAGCACTTACACTCAGTTAGCCAAAAAAGGCTAATAGTTGACTCTATTGAACAGAACATTTATGTATATATAAAAGTATGTACACACACACACACTCACTCAATCACACATGCATACACAGACAAAGACGTACGCATTATATTATTTACTATTGCTGCGAATACTTGAAACTAGCTATTTATGTATGTATATATTGCATTTCCAATTGAGACTTTAGGCAGTTTTCTTCCAAATGTTGTGCATTAACACGATTATTAGTATAGCAATCACATCATTACATTCTTTGTTCTATTTTAAGCATTTTAAAAACTATCCACATAATCAAGTGTTTTATCAGTATATTTTGGGACATACAAACATATATGCAATGACGTCACAAACAGAGATCATGCAATTTACAATATACAAAAACAATAAAAACGGAATCACAAATAAGATTCGAAAATGGGAAAACTTGTAGTTCAGAAATTTTAACTTCGCCAACCTGACACGGAGCTTGTAACGCTACTTTCTATTGCCCCGAACCGATCACTACAGCTCTAAAATATGTGTGTGATCAAACAAACTGTATTGTCAACCTTACTGAAAATTGATGAAAACTCACGGATACGTTTTAAGATCTGTGCTCTCGAAAAACTGATTCGACACCAAAAACCACAGCAAAAATTAAACTGTTACGTATGTGATAATGTGAATGGCCCCCTCTTTCTCTCTCTTTCTCTCACTCTCTCTCCTCTCTAAGTGGTGCCAGAGCATGCATGTGTATGTACATACAGACAAGTATACATTTTGCTCTGTGGCTATTACTTTACAACTATTGTTACTCAATTTCATAATTAACTTGTTTTTAAAAAAGTTCTGAGCTTAGTGCAATTCTATTTTCGCCACTTTTACACACACATTAAGTAAATCTCTTCAAAATATTTTGTTGTCGGTTTTTTTTTAAAGTCAATAATAAATTATTGTTAATTTTTTTTTTGCACGCGTGGCGTCTCATATGAATAAAAATTTTGTTGCTACTTAAAAAACTAAACTCTTGGTTTTTAATGTCCATTTTCATGCATGCTGCTGCTACTGCTGCATCATCGCTCAACAAATTACATACATACATAAATATAAAATATAAATTACAATTTCGTTTATTTTCCTTTAATACAATTGACCATAATCTTTAGGCTTCTATTTGTCTGTAAGACCGCACAGAAAATGTTTTGTAGATCATCTTCTTGTTGTTTTTAATTGTTTTGGAGGCAGCTACTTTAGTTGTATGTATGTATATAATAATAATAATATAATATAATAATAATAATAATAATATATATCTGTATATATATGTGTGTATATACATACACATACAGACATATACACACATACATATATGCATGTAGAGTAAATTAGAATTAACACAATTGGATTTTTGTTTGCTTTGTTTTGCTGTAAGTGATTTTTTTTTAAATTAGTTAACAATTATAGTATATTAAAAAAAAGTTTATCCTTAATACAATTACAATTTAAGACTTATCTTAAAAGCATTCATAACATAATTATTATTATTTAAAAAAAAAAACAAAAAAAAATGTATTGTAAACCAAAGGAAATATGCCTTTTTTGTTAGAATTGTTGTTGTTTTATTGATGTTGTTATTGTTGTTGTTGCTGCTGCTGCGCTTGTCGAACGATGATTGCATTACAAATTGGCACCACAATTCCAGCAGCTCTGTCTGTCTGTTTAGTTTGGTACATTTATAAGTGTGTGTGTGTTTGTGTGTGTGCATGATGTATGCATGCATATATATATGCATACGTACATACATACATGCCTGCATACAATTATCTATGAGTAACTCACTAATAATGTACGTATGTATTTACGCTTTAGAACATTGCTTATGTTTAACAATTATTTTAAATTGTCGTCGTTGTTGTTGCTGTTGCTGTTGGTTTCCTTTATGTGTATATATATATAAATATATTTTTTGTATATATTTTATATATATATTAATATATTATTTTGTTTGGCTGTCTTGTTTAATTGTTGTTGTGTTGTAAGCGCTGTTTTCATCATTTCTTTTGGTATTCCCAGACACTTTTCTTGCCATGTTGACGGCGCCGAAGTTGTAACTTTGTGGTGCAAGTTCTGGTGCTGCTGCCGCCGCTGCCGCTGCCCTCGCTTCTGTCGTCAGTGCGTGCAGCAGCCCTGGTGGCCGTTGCCTACAGGGTCTCCTCGAAGGCAGCCATGAGATCGCTCTGCATGTTCATATCGATTTGGCCGGCCAGCTATGGGTTGTATCAAGCAAAATTAAAAGTAGCTTCAGTTCAATGATTTAAGCAAAGCCTCCCTTTACTAAGGTAGTTTGTGGGAGAAGGGGTCGCTCCACGAGAGCATTCTGAACTCTTGTGTTTTGTACCCCTCGTTTGGTGTTTGAAATTAAAAACAAATAATAATAAATTAAATTTGTTCAGTGTTTACAGGAGCAGAACTCAGACAATTGGGAATTCAGGAGATAAAGTCCATATTTTCAATATATTTTTAAACTTAAAGTCAGCTATGATAGTTGGCCTCTTGAGGAATCGTTTGTAGGGTGGTATTTCGAACTGAAATCTTTTTAACTTAATTATTGTACGCGATTTTTCGAGAGGAGTCTTTTTATTTGGAATATTTGTGTGAGAAAACGAAAATAATTCTTTGCCAAACCTATTCAAGTTTTATTGAAAATCCAAAAATATATAAGGCCTATAACATCATAACAGTAATGTAATTCTACTTACCGCCTCGCGACGACGACGCTCCTGTTCGGCACGCCGTTGTTCCGCACGTTTTGCAGCCGCACGATCCTGCGGCGATTGCTGCGCTGGCGAACTTTGACCCTGGCCCGGCGAAGCCTTAATGTCATCGACACGCGATATTTGCGGCTGCGCATCATGCACGCTTTTACTGTAAAAAAAGAATGACATTAAATGTTTGGGCGTAGAAAATATGAAATGGATGACTTACCGTCCACTTTCCATGGAGCCCAATGGGGAGGCGCCCATTGAGACAGCCGTTAAGGCCGTTGCTGCCGCTTGCGCTGTGGCTGCAACCACGGCTGCAGCAGCATGGTGAGTCTTGGCATGAGCATGACCGCCTTGGTGTCCATTGCCAGAGGCGTTGCTGCCACCACCTCCACTACTGCTTGCTTGACTATTGGAGCCTGCGCCGCCAACGGTGGCGCCTGCACTACTGTTGCTATTGCTGCTGGCGGCGCTGCCGATGCCACCACCACTGACAGCGCCGCCACCGCTATTGCTATTACTGCTGACGTTGACTAAACTGCCGCCACCACCGCCGCTCGCGCTGCCACCGCTATTCGCGCCATTACCGCTGCCGACACTGCCGGGCCCATTGCTGTTGATGGAGTTGTTGCTGTTGCCATTGCCACCGACAGCACCACCGCCGCTGCCACCACCACTGCCTGATGAACGTCCGCCACCATCCGCTCCGCTGCTGCTGCGCTCCCGTTCCCGCTCTCCACTTTGCGTTGCAGCCTGCGATGAGATATTGCTGCCAGTGCCGCCCCCAGAGCTCGCAGCTGCTGCAGCTGTGGCCGCAGCGGCCGCTACCGAGGATGAGGATTTGTGGTGCTTGCGCTGCTGTTCCTTTTCAGCCACTTCCTTTAGATATTTCTTCTCCTTCTCGGCCGCCTCAAGGAGCTTGAGGCGATCACGTTCTTTGGCTTTATTGCGGAACTGCTGAAACGAGTCCATGGCCGGCTTCGCTTTGCTCGACGTAGCCGCCGTATTCTGCGGTGAGTTTGAGGCCAGCGAGGACCATGAGCTGGCATTCTTTAGGTTTTGTTCGGCCGATTTAAAAGCATGTGCAAAGTTGCCTTGCGCATTTGGCGCACTGCCTCCACCACAACTATACATTTTCAGATCAGACGGCGACTGCTGTGGCGGCAGCACTTTTTGCTTGTCGGGCGGGCTAGGCATCATGGACTCGATTGGTTTCGGTATGATGAGCATTTTATTGGAGGGCTGACCACTCTGTTGTTGTTGTTGCTGCTGCTGTTGCTGATGGCCGTGATGTTGTTGCTGCTGATGATGATGCTGCTGCTGCTGTTGTTGTTGCTGTTGTTGAAGTTGCTGCTGCTGTGCCAAATGTGATTGAATTTGCTGCTGTTGCTGCTGGATTTGTTGTTGCTGCTGCTGCATCTGTTGTTGCTGATCATTCGCCGATAGATTGGTGTTATCCTTAAGTTTGCCGCCATTGTTGCCACCCATCATCACACCCATGGCAGGCGTCAACTGATCCAGGAATGATGTCGCTGCAGCCAGATTGAGATTATCAAAGCCAAAATCGGACACATTGTAGCCATTGTTGTGCGCGTTCGTTTGTTGATGCTGGCCATGTTGTTGCTGCTGCTGCTGCTTCTGGTACGCAGTGACCATATCCAGACTGAACATTGAGGAGGGCAAGGAATGGAGGGACAAATTACCATTCATGCCGCTCACGTTCTCCTTGGCCAACAACTCCGACACTAAGTCCATTTGTTGTTGTTGCTGCTGCTGCTGTTGCTGGTGTCCAAACTGTTGTGACTGTTGCTGCTGTTGCATATTGCCTCCGGGCTGTTGCATTAGATGCGCCTGATGAGTCATCAAAAAATTATCCGCAAGCGCCGATGATTTGCTCGTGTTTGCATTGTATTCCAGGGACGCCAGTGACTGTTCAACAGGATCATCGAATTGTGGTATTTGTTTGAGGCCAGCGGCCAGCGATACTGTAGGATCACTGCCCGCGCCCCCACCTACCCCAACCCCGTCGAGTGGGGATGTGTTGTGTGTGTTATTGAGACCGGCAACACTGCCACCAACGCAGACGCCGCTACCGCCGCTTGTATTGCCACTGCCACTATTAACGCTCGACGACAGCGCAGCCGTTAGCGCTGCATGATGCTCGCTCAGATCACCGGCCCCAGCACCTGCCGCCATACTGGGCGGCTGCTTGTGCAGATTGCTGGCTATGCGTATTCCACCTACACTGCTAGTCGTCTGCGTTGCTGCGCCACCTGAGAAGCCGTGCGACGGCAGCGGCGTCGTGCCAGGCGCTTTGCCTCCGGCCACCTGATCATTTGGTCCATTCTTATGACCGTGCATCATGCCCGTCGCTGGCGCCCCAAAGTTGCCCGGCCCGCTCTTATTGTTATTGTTCAGTATGGCCGCTAATGGATTACCACTGCCCAGAAGGTTTGCTGCATGAGCGGCCGCCGCAATGGACACTAGTAAACAAGTTACGATTGACAAGGACAAAAGGCAAGAGGTGGAAAACCACGGATTAAATTAGTCACGCGCCACAAACCAATCATCAGACATCAGTACTTACTCATTTGTGATGTAGGTGTCGTTGCCGGTGCCCCTGTGGTCAGCACATTTGGCAGCGTCGTGTGTGGAAGGGTCGGTGGTATGGCACCGGCTGGCAGATTGCCGGCTAGAGCGCCGCTCAGGCTTGGATTATTTACCTAAAGTCGAAAGGGTTGAGCCAAAGCGTAGAGCCGTAGATCGAAACAGAACACGCGGGCGGAAGGTGAACAAACATAGACGTTTAGAACCCATTACAAACAATTACATCGTCATATCATGGACATTGACAGGGCCAGGCGATAATTATACCCCTGCGAGCCTTCCCAGTGTTACAAACATTCAAAACCTACAGCAATTAACTTAGCTTGCCCTCGTTTCCGCGAAATCCAAGAGATTTGGCGCTAAACTCCCCCTCTGCATTCACTAAAGAAAAACGAGTTTCAAAGATTTAATTCAACTATCTCAGAATAGATGTATGCTTCAAATAGGAATCCAAACAAGGCACATTCGCATGTTTTATATTAATTACATATAATCGTAATCATTTTCAAAGTTGACGGACTTGATATTATACCCCTCATTTTGATTTTGGGCTAATCGGTTATTTTTCGTTCATAGCGCATATTAATATCGTTTCGGAATTGTTTCTGAAAGTATGGTATCTTTCCTATCGAAAACATCGCTACTCTATCTAGTATTTATCAATTTAAATAATTTTTATATTTAAGAACGCATATATTGACTTATTGTTCTGATATCTACATATATGATCTGTTTTTGATTAAATATTTTTCCCCCTTTTATTACATATTAAAAACTGGCCGTTCACTCATAAAATGGAAAAACATACTTTATATCTAAATATGTAGAAAAGGTCTAATAACCTAAACTCTTTATTGATCACTACATATTAATAGAAACACACAAATTGATGAGGCAATTTTTTGTGAACAAATGAAAGTATGATCTACATGGGAATTCAATTAATTTAGATGCACGCCATATTTGAAGACTGAACGAATGTTTTGTGTGTGTGTGTGTAAGTTGTTTTCTTCTTAGTAATATTTTTCGCAGGTTTGCCCATTTACCCCTTTATTGTGTCCATCTATGTAGGTTATTTGCTAAATTGTATTTATGGATCTACTCACATTGCTTCCATTTGAATCACGTGATTTTTTCTTGCGTGGTGGCCGTTCATCACCTATAAATTGTTAATATGCAATAAAACAAAAGAAAAATTTAGTTAAAAAAAACCGATTACAAGTCAGAAATTATATATAACATGTATTAGAAATACCTCTTACAGCCGACATCACTGAAACCAATATGAAGCAATTGTGTGTGAGTTTTAATTTGATATTCTGTGAATGATTGGATTGCACTAATTCTCAAATCGTCGCTGTAAAATAAAACAAAAACATGCGACATAAAGAGCCGCAACCGGAACATGAATACCGGAAAACCGAAAATCTAAAACCAACGTAGTGGGAGGCAGCTGGGGATATCGAAGTGGAGGTGGAAACGTAAGTGGAAACCAAACCAAACCAAGCCCAACCCAACCCTTGTGCAGATATGTACATTTACTTTGCACTTGTCATCATTTCATTGATTTTGTTTATAGTTCTTTTTTCATTTAAATTTCAACTTATGCTAAGAGTGTGTCTCATTTATACTCTGCGCCTAAGCAAACAAATATGTATATTTATTGAATTTCTCTAAAGGTTTTGGATAACGTTAGCCTTCTTCTATCTGTAAAATCAATTCTGCAGAATTTGGAATGAAATACACAGAGGAATTTTTTTAAATAAACTTTTTTCTTGTATTCATTGCCTTTTTTTTTTTTTTTTTTTTTTTGTTTTTTCACTTCTATTTCTGATGGTTTTTTTTAATATTAAATATTATTATTTTTACTATAAATATTTTAATATATGTATGTATATTGTATGTGTGAGTTAGTGTGTGTGTCTGTGGGTGTATTTCTGACCTTTTATTTCATTCTTAATAATGAGTCTTTTATGCTAAGTATATATATATAATATATATATATGTGTGTCTGTGTGTGTCTAGCTGCCTTGCGCTAAGATTTTACTATTTATTCGCTTTGTATATTCATTTTATTTTATTTTATATATTTGTTTATGATTTCGTACGCATTTTCATATTTATATGTATAGCTACTAAAGTATTTTGAAAGAGACGTCTGCGCTAATTGAAAGTCGACTTTTCGTTGAAACCAAAAATGCATTTGAATTTTTTTTTCTTTTCTATATATATTTGTTGTTGTTGTTTTTCTTTTTCATTCTTTTTTATGTTCTATTCTTACAAGACTTTGAGCGTGTTGTTTACATGCGTGTATGTAAATTTCTGTTCTCGCTTTTAGATATTGTTTCGTTTACGTTTTGTTTTTACTAAGTAGATTAAAAATGACTTATATAACAAAAAAGAAAACAATGTCGATTACACTGCTGTGAGTGTGTGTTGTATGTGTATAGGTGTGTGTAAGTATGTGTGTGTGTGTGTGTGTGGGTGAGTGTGAGGTGTTTGGGCGGGGCTACTAAAATAGATGTGTGTGTCGCCTAGCACAGCATAGCTCAGTGACCAGTTTAGCGGCCTACATTTTGCATTCGTTCGTTTCTCAATTATTTCATATTTTAAATAAATAACAAATGCCAATGTCTGGCTAAGTAAATTAGAAAAAAAAGAAATAAATAGAAGAAGCGAATTGCTTGTTTACAAAATTTAATGTTGTCATATCGATTTGAGTTTTCGAATATTTGCTTAATTTCGTGGCTGCATAAATAATATATGTTTCTTTTCTTACTTCTTTTTTGTCTGTTTTTGTTTATCAATTACAACTCAGCATAATAAGCTTGTCTAGAACACGCTCATATTTTCAACATTTTAAAATTTCATTTTTGTTTGTTTTTTTTTTTTTTTTTGTAAAATGAGTTTTTCCTTTTAATTTATTTAACGTTGGTTTGAAAATCATTTGTGATTTAAAAATATGTTTGTTTTCATTTATTTTTATTATTTGTTGTTTTTTGCTTTTATTTAATTTAATTTAATTAATTTATATTTAAATTTCGTTAATGCAATTTGTTGTTGTTGTTTTCTCGCTTTCTTTTCATTTTCCATACTTTTTCTCTTTTTTTGTTTTTCTTTTTTTTGAAAAAAACGTGCAAACAATGTGTAAAGGGGAAAGCCGACAGCCGAAAAATAAATAATAAAATGCTTTCAAAATACATTTAATTATTTGTTTTTGTTGTTATACCTTTATATATACATATATAGAACTATGCAGTTGGTGTGTGTGTTTGTGTGTGTACATGCGCATACATATACATATACGGAGCAAGAAACTCTGCACACACATTTGGAGTCTGGGGAGCTGGAGCTGCTCTTCTCTCTTTTGGAGAGTCTCTCTCGCGCTTTTGCTCTCGCTCTGTGTCATGTCTGTGTGTCTCTTCTGTTCGCTGTCTTCAGTTTCTTTGTTCCTGCTAGACTTTTGAACGAACTTTGCTAACCTTTGTTTGTTCATTGGTGTCTTCTTTTACTTTTTTTAATTTCTACTTTACGTAGTTAATAATAGTTGGTGTTTTTGCTGGTGTTTTCTTTGTCATTTATTTTTATTGTTTTATAGATTTTTTACACTATTTTGCATTTTGCTGTTTTTTTTTTTTTTTTGTTTTTTTCTTTTCTTCTTTTGTTTCACCTAATTAGTATCAAGCTTGGTAGTCTTCCGTTGTTGTCAAAAAATGGGATAGGAATAAACCATAAAACAAGGACATACACAAGCAAACAAAAAGAAAAGATCGTGTTTCTATATAATTATTCTAACTATTTACTAAAACATCATATACGCCTGTCGGTCGTGTTTGTTCACCAAGGCATCGGAAGTCGTTAATCCTAAGATTGGAAGCTTGAATTCTCGCATGGAATATTCTTGTAGACGCGTGTTAAGTCTAAGAAGGCGGCATTGGTGTATAGGAGGCTTCTATTCTCTGAAGCCCCAGTTGTTATACGGAAATAGAGCTCAGAACATATGAAAACACTCGCGAGCTTATTTAAAGTACAGATTTAATTAGCCAGATTTGGATTAGCACATCAAAAACGACTGTTTGGCCAAGATATTGTGCTCGAAATGAGACGAGGGTTAACCGAAATGGCCAAAACGTCAAGTTCTAGCTAGAACTTGTGGCCACACTTAACGCTAAACTATAATTTTTAGATACGTTAGCATACTAGACTACACAAGACTAGATAGCTCTAAGTCAAGTGTATTAAGGTGATTAGAGATTGAGTTTCAAATCAGCAAACTGATAATCTTCGACTGATCCCTAACTGCACGTTTCGTAATTGTTGTTGTTCCTAACTTGGTTGCCTTCTATAAGGGCTGTGTTTCTCATAACTGTTCTACTACTTGTAGTTCCATGATGGTTGGCAAGTCGTTTTGGATTTTGCAATGTAAAATAATGATACTAAACAATAAATAAATGCGTAAATATACAAAAATTAACATAAAACAATTAAATATGTTCACCAAAACAGCAGCCACATCAAAGGTTTGTAGTCGTTTCAAATTTTTTGCAAGAGTTAAATTTTGTTTTATTTTTGGAATTTTTGGTTGCTCTTTTTTTGTTTTTGCTTTTCATTTTTGTCCTGTCTAGTATATCTTTACGGTTAGAGATCAGTGCTTAAGACTTCTGCACATATACATATTTAATTGATAAGTTAAAGTAGGTAGGGGTAAGTTGGTAGTTAGGTATATATGTAGTATGCGTAGTTAACAGTTTGTACCTAGCTTGCCTTGCTCTTCTTCTTCATCTGCTTATTCTCATTCTTAGAGTTTGTTGCTTGTTTACATTTTTACGTACATATGTGTTTGTTTTGCTTTTCTCTAGTTCGGATACTTTGGATATACTTTCTCATTTTTACACATTGTCTGCAAGTGTATTTCAATTTTCGTTTTTCTCATTTTTTGTTGTTATTTTTTTGTAGTTTTTTTTTTTTTTTAAAGATATATATGCGAATTGGTGTTTTCGTTTTCTATTTAATTTATGGTACAATAAGTTATTGCATTTGTTTATAGTTTTTGCTGGTAAAATTATAATTGTTATTTATCATTTTATTTTAGATAGTAGTTTATATACATATGCTGTTTCAAGGGGCTGTCTTTTTGGGTCTGTCAGTTTAACAAAAACAATCACCATATTTAATAGGACTGTGTGTGCATATATGTTTGTGGTAGTGCCTCCCACCCGCCTCCTGAGGTTTATGGTATGACGTGAGAGACGACATCGAGGCTACATCATCAAATCATTAGCTTCATTCATTGATTTATTCATTGATGGCAGACCGAACGAACGAGTTGACTGACTGACATTGGATACATTTATGGCTCAATATCATTGCAATTATATTTCTTTTCCTCCTTCCCCTTATCCTACACTTCCTATACATCATTAATGTTCAATAAAACAAAAGCATCAATTAGGTTAAAAACAATGTAAATTGCTTGTTGTGCGATATGATTGAATAATATTAATGGGGGATTCATCACTACATTGATTTTATTTACAAAAAAGAAACCCGTTTTCGTGAGTATTACACTTCGAAAATGTGACATTTTTGTGCAGTCAATCAATGTGACAAACACACGATGTATTTAATGCAATGTGACTGATGTAAGTATTTATTTTCTGGATTGAATTTGAAGTAAAAATAGAGGAAAAGGATTCTTCTAACAAGAACAATACGACATGGTATGACCTGAGAAATTGTTAATGCTATCTAAAAACCACATAGGCAGCAGCAATAGAAATGCTTATTTATTGAAACAACAAATGGAAAGATAATTGGTGGGGTGTATGACAATGCAAATTTAACTCAAAAAAGGCGTAAATGGAGTGTAGGAAGGATGAGATTTACTTTCTGGGATTGAAAGTTGATTGATGATTTATTGAAATTTTGTTGCTGGTCTAATTAATAATGATGGATACTTGTGCATTAGCGATTAGTCATTCATTTACAAGAGAAAAAACATTTAGGACATCAATGATTGTTCGATTGCTTGCTTGAAATGCTGATTGAAATGTGTGACTAACAAATACAAGTTCATGTACCCAGGCACACAACAGTTTTGTGTAAAGAATGTCGCAAAAAACAATCAAATGGGATTGAAAACAACACTTAATGCATTCTACAAGTACACTTTTAAGGCTTTCTCGGGTGGTTGTTTATTGTATGTGTATGTATATGAGTGTGTTTGTTGTTGTGCATAGCAAAATGTTACTACTGTCGCATGATAGGATCAAGCTTTCGCATGATAGGATCAAGCTTTCGCATGATAGGATCAAGCTTTCGCATGACTCTCTCATATTATTGTGATTCTCTTCGTTATTTAATCATTCAATGTGAATTGATGGTTTTTATTGTTTAAGATATATATTTATTGTTTAGACGCTACTTGAGGCTTTACTTTATTTTTTAACTAGTCTTTTTGAGTAGTTTTTTTTCCATTTGTTTAGTTTAGTTTTTATTGGGTTGCTTGCTTGGTTGGTTGGTTGGTTGGTTGGTTGGTTGGTTGATTGATTGATTGAGTTGAGTAGTTCATTTGGTTTTTTCAGATTGGCTGCCCCCAATACACAATTGCTTCACGATTTTTTTCAGCATATTCATAATAATAATAATAATAATAAAGATAATAATAATGCTTTTGTTTTGTTTTCAAAGACTTAAATTAAATAGAGCTTGCTTTTACAAGCAGTTGCATTATTTAGATAGTAAAAATTGTTTGTTGGTTGGTTTTTTTTTTGTGGTTGTTGTTTTTTCTTGAATCAATAGTACATGCATATACTATATACACATATATACATATATAGATATATTTAATATATATGCATGTATATATATGTATGTACATATATACACATATATGTGGTTGTATATATACACATCTATGTATGTATATATATATAAACGTGTTTCATTTAAAAATACAATTCGTTTAATACCTAAAAATGCTTAAATACAATATCTATATGCATTTACATAATGAAGCATATATTCATATATACGTATAACTAGACCTAAATAGTATTTATATATCTATATATATATATTGATTATATATAGTTTTGCAGTTTCGTGTCGGTGTGTATTTGTGTATGTGTTTCAAAAGCTACCTAGATGAGTTTTATTTTAAAATAAACGAAATTTATAATCAAAAATGCTTGAAAATAAAAATAACATTTGACAATAATGTCGATAATTTAGCATTTGGGCCTCGGCATTGGCGCTAGTTTTCATAACCAACATCAAACTATTGAGTGTCAGAGTGTCGCCATTAGACAAAAACAACAATTGTAACATAATAACTCGATTTCAAGGCTCCACTCTGCATATAATTATAATTTTATTAAATCGTTTTTACACAGCAAACAGTTGTTTAACAAATCATTTGCTGTCTTGGGCAAATACATATTTGTTTTAAATACAAATACAGCGAACAAATTTTGGCCATTCATAACTGTTTAAAATTGTGTAGAATTATTCAAGTTAAATAATAATAATATATTCAGCATTATACCCGATTTTGTAACATGTATGTTGTATGTTGGGCAAACGCATATTGCACTTATCATGAACTTAGTTCGCAGATAGTAAAAAAAAAAAAATATATATATATATATATAGTATATATGAAAAATAAAACACATGATTATATTTTCATCCGAAAATTGTAATTGAAAACTTTTGAAAGTTGGTTATAAAAAAAAAGACACCAACAAATGCAGCAGCACACAAAAGCTTCAAGGAATAATAAATTAATTACTGCTAGTTATCGCGGCTCATTATTAATTATAAACAAATATTAATGAAATGAATGATAGATATATCAAGGTGGATACAATTCAAAATTAGCAACCTAAAAGCAGTTTTAGAAAACATAAGCTCTGCGCACAAAAACATACACTTTCGTGTGCTTGTGTTTGTGTCTGTGTCTGCGTACATGTATGTGTGTTTGTGTTTGTGTGTGTATGTGCATGTGTTTGTGTGTGTGCACGTACACTTATATATACATATGTACACACGTACATATATACATACATATGTATGGCTGCACATACATACAAACATAGGTATATAAATACGTTCATATGTTTCTATGCATACAAAACTCATTAGAATCATGACTGGCTGAGACTTTTTCTTTTGCTTGTTTTCTAATTTCTTTATAAAATAATAATTTGTTATTATAAAAATGATAAACTACCAAACTGCAGGCAATAAAAAAAAAAAAACAAACGAAACAACAACACTGCATAACAAAATGCGTGCCCCCCTCTCGCTCACTCCTGCACACTTTCTATCCCTTTCGCTCCCACACTTGCACACTCATCGTTTTGTTTAATATTTTCTTACACAATTTTTGTATTTGTTAATAGTTTTGCACTTACACAATTTTGTACCTAAATTTAACAAAAAAATCTAAAAACTAAACTAAACATTTTAGATGTATATATACTATGTGTATGTACATATAATTATGTACTTCTATCAGAATTTTAAATAATTATGCCAAAAACTGAAATGTTCTCTGCACTCTTCTCATTTCTTTCAGCACAAATTTACGTTTTGTTTTAAGGGTTAGAAAAAAAACAGTTCATCAGTTACTTTTTTCTGTGCAATTATCTCCCTAGCCCGCCCCTCACGCTTCCATTATATGGAGGGGGGGTTGTTGTGTGTGTCTCACGATCTGTTCATATCTCGAATCTGATCTATAGTGCTCAGCGAGCTTAGCTTATAACTGGCTTTCTCTCTTCTCTCACATTTTTTCATTAAACTGATTTTAAAATTAATGGTATTTAATATAAAATCATATTTAAACAAAATATTGTTTTATATACGCAATATATATATATAAGTATATATGTACCAGTGTTTGTTTTTTTTTTTTTTTTGTTTTTTGTTTTTTTGTGTCTGCGTGTGTTGTGTAAATCGTTGAGTTTTTCTTGTTTTTTGTAGCTTAAACGAATTTCTAGTATATATCTATATATAGAACTATATATATATATATTAAAAAACAAAACAAAACGCGTCCTAACCTGCTTCACTGTCGCTCGAGTCACTTGAACTGCTATCACTCGAACTCGAGGACGATGAATCGCTGGAACTTGAACTTGATGACAAACGATTCGCTGGCTGTACAGCTTCAACTTTATTTGATGTCGATTCATCTGGAACGGGCAAGAGAGTAACAATAATCAGTTCATATATATACACATATGGCATAAAGATACGTATGGATTGCTTGGTGGGCATTTAGACTTCGTATTTCCACCTACCTTTCTTTGCTGTTTTCTTGCTCGCACCTAGCTGACCAGTCACGTCTAGTAACCGTTTCTCCAGCTCTTGTTTCTTTTCGGCCATCTGTTCATCCTTTGATTTCCCGGAAGGCTTTTTATCTGCATAAAGAGGCAATACAATTTATAAGTATTTTCTGCATTTTTCCATCACTTGTAAAAAAAGTAAAGCAAAAGAACTCAAAGATAGATTGAGGAGGAGGTCTAAGAATAATACTTGGAGGCTAATCACAATAATCTGTTTAACCAATAAAAATTATTCAATTTACGAAACGAACGATTTCTGATCGAACAACGATATACATGCGGACTACAGAACAAAATTTGAAAGGTGGGCTGAGTATCGAGCAACCAAAGAGGATTTAACCTGGGAATAAAAATAACCTATAGCCTAACTTTTTATTTAGTACCACTAGTAGTTTCATTGGAATGCCCAATATTCTTTAGCGCTGATTGCTCCTTGGTTCGGTTTATTCAATGGACTGGTCCTCTATAATTTGGGCCTAACACAGCATCCACACGTCAGAGGTAGTCCCCTCCATAGTATCTTCTTCTTCGAAGGATACCATTACATATTCCTAAAACCATTACACGACTGGGCCTGAGCGTCCCTTATCGTTTATTGTGGCCCATTCCGGACTAGTCTAAGTTATCATGCCCTGATCCATATTATAAGTCGAATGATAGTGTCACATAAGTGATATTTTGAAACTAATATGCCTCAGCACATTCTTTGTTAATTTTAAATTAAATACAGTTTATCTTGAAAGCATAAAATAAGGCTTTGTATGCGCAAATAAGAATTCCCTTTCTCAACCGAAAGCTCATATATTTATATTATTTATTTCCACAATTCGTTTTTATTTTGGTTTTAAAGATATGGTTAGGACAGGACTCGGATTTACACAACTTTGCGATTTTCAATTATATATCCTTACAATACAATGACTTTACACAGTTTAGAAAATTAATTCTCAGAAACATTTTGTTGAGATCGAATATACTATAAGTTTAATTTTGAAATTATAAGCGTCATTGATGAGATGCTCATAGAATAGTTTATAAGCCAGATTACAAAATATTTACAATCTACCAAATAACAGAAATGAAGGTTATCATGCATTTTATTCTACAGGAATTGAAAATAAATCATGCGTTAAGGTAAATTCGCTTAGATATACTAAGCAGCAGATATTGAGGCAGGCAAATGGAAACAGACAGAGACAGAGGCAGCAGAATACCCACTCCAGTGGGGGGAATTGGAAGGAAAAATAAAACAAAACTTAATGGTATTTGGTTGAGAGTTTAGTAAACTAAACATGACCACTAAATGTTGCAAATTTCATTTATGCATTTTTTCTTTTCCATTGATATGATGTGTATACAAATTTGCAATAAAATTGTTCTCTTTTCAATTTTTGAAATATACGACAAACTCAAAATCGCTATCGAATCGCATCGCAGCAACAACAACGACAATAAGTAACGACGACAGCTAATGAGTTTTAAAAACAAACAAATAATGAAATTCATTTTTTTGTTGTCGCAGATGTTGTTGTTCCTTCCATGTGGTTGTGGATATTGCTGTTGTTGTGCTGCTTACGACACCGATTTGATTTTGATTTAATTTATAATTTATGTTGTTGTTGTTTGTTGTTCTATTTGTTGTTGTCGTTGTTGTTGTTTGTGGTCTCGGTTTAGTTACAAACTTACAATATGGCTTACGTGTTTTTTTGCGTAAACACGACGCCACATAGCTTTCAAGCTCGCGCAGCGTCGACGGCTTCAGTGTCTCGAAATCAATTTCAATCTCATCCGGATTCGAATCCCGCAGCGATGGCTCACGGTTCTGTATGATGTGCACCACACGGCCCAATTTGTCACCTGCGCCACATAAGGGATATGGTAGATAGAGAGCAAGAGATAAAGGGAATAATGGATTAGTGTGATTCACAACTAAGAGTGAATATTGCGAACTCACCTGGCAGCTTGTTGATGTCCAATGATAATTGGCGCTTCTCATCGTACGACATAGGCTTGGCGGTATCCTCCTCTTCGGAGTCGAAGTTCATCACCTGGCTGGGTTTCTTTTTACTGCTGCCGCGTGCACCCGCACCACCAGCACCAGCACCCGCACCACCGCCGCCGGCACCGCTACCGCTTTTGGCGCGTTTGGATGCACCGCCCGCAGCACCGCCGCCAGCTCCACCTGCACCACCAGCGCTCGCACCGACACCAGTTGCACCTGCTCCAGAACCAGCGCCCACACCGGCCGCCGCACCACCCGCGCCAACGCCAGTAGCACCCTTTGTGCCACGCTGACCTTTGACTTTAGCACCTTTACTGCTGCCACCACCGCCACCGGTACCACCTGCGCCCGCCGCCGCTCCAGCCGCCAATGCGCCAGCCAGAGCGCCTGCTTTGCCACCAGCAGTCACTCCCGCACCAGCAGCGGCAGCACCACCCGTCAGCTGGCTCATGACCATCGCCATATCGTGTGCATGTAGCGCAGCGGCTGCAGGCACCCCTGTTCCACCGCCGGCACCACCTGGTCCCACCAGCGAATTGTTAAGCAGGGCCGATAAATTGGCGCCGGCTGGCCCACTTCCCGCCAACGCTGCAACGCCACCAGTAACTGAAACATTACCATGACCACCACCAGCTCCGCCGGCGCCTGTTGCGTGCGCATGATGACCACCACCGCTACCACCGATGCTCTTTTTCTTCTCCTTGAGTTTCTTCTTGGCCTTCTTTTTGGCTGAGGCCTCCTCGACCAGTTTCCGTATCTCCTCCTGCAAACCCAACAACTTCGATTCGAGCATTTTCAGTTTGGCACTACGCTCCTCATCCGAATTTGACTCGTTCTCTGTATCGCTGGAATCCTCGGTAGATGAATCGCTGGCATCGTGCTTAGAAGTGCTCGTGTAGCCGTGATGGTGGGCCGCATTAGTTGCTGGCTCATCGGGTATATTGGCGTAGCGCATCTCAAAAACGTCTTGCAATTTGCGACCCATGGCAACAACATCATGATCTGGCGGATTGTATTTATAGCAATTGGTGAATATTAATCGCACATCGGCCGCAAACTCCGGCGCACTTTTATATTCGCGATTGTCCATTTTCCGCTTCACAGTACCCAAATCCATGGGTTTCTTGATAATGTCGTGATAGTCGTGCAGGCCAAGCAGTTCGGCATCCACTGGCTTGTAGAAAGGCCAGGCATAGCCGGAGTGCTTCTTGGAGAAGAGCTCCTTGAGGATTTCATTGCATGATTTCAGTGCGTCGGAGAGTTTCTCCTTGGACTTGGCGCCAGCCACGCCTACAGCGCCGCCGGCAACTAAGCCAGCAACACCGGCAGCGCCCAAAGGTGACATGGGGTAACCCGAGCCCTGGAATGTAAGATCCTGTTGAGTGAGCGGTTCAGTGAGCGGTGGATTGGTTGGTTGGTTGATCGATTGTTGATTTTTTGTTCAATTTTTTATTTATTTTGTTGTTGTTGTGGTGGTTGTTGGTGGTGCGTTGTGCGTGGAGTGCAATGGAATAAAAAACGATAAACAAAAGGAGAAACGAGCGCAAAGCGGCATTGGGTTAGCATTTAATGTTTCATGATGTTTTATATATCAGTAGTATGGATGTCTACCTATATGGACCATGTACAAATATACATAATGAAGACTACAGTACATGGCGTTATAATAATGTATAAACTACCAAAATCATTTTTAAAGTTATTCTAAAGCTAAGTGCAGTCAGAAAACATCCATAACTCGAAGAAGTCGTTCTAATGCTAATTTAATTCAATTCAATTCTTCAATGACCATTCCCTGTTCTTATTTCTTGTTGAGAGCAACAAGAGGTTCGAGTTATGGGAGTTCTAACACTTGAATTTGATTAAAACAAATAGTAAAAGGCAAGGCAGCGTTTTGTGTATGATTGTAGTGTGTGTAGTTATGTGGATGACTGTTTTTGTGTATTATCTGTGTGTGTGTATATATACATTTCAAAAGTTATACTGCCTGATCAGAAAACGAAAAGCCGGTAATGCATTATTTAGCTAAACAAATCACCTAAACATTGTTATGTACGCGTAATTATTGTAAATCACGCTGGTGCCTTCCTTATCTAAATGTTTAATATACTTGTAGTCTGTATAGTCTATGTTTTATACAACCCCAATAATGGGCCTAAGATTTTATCCCAAGTATATGAGCGTTCAGCATCAGCGTACATTTTCTAGATTTTTAAAAATAATTATGAAATTTGTAAATAGACATTACATTAGTAGCTATTATTAATAACTTAATCTTGCTTTTCAAGCAGTCTCAGCATAATAATGCTTGCTATTAATAGCTAGACTATTTAGGACTGGCTTTCCTTAACTGTACTTAACAACTTAAGACCTCTACAAGACAATTGATGAATTTTTGAGCAAATTAATTGAATTGAATTTTAGCTTAAACTGAATTGTTCTGAATGATCTGCCTTTTAATCACCAACTTAAAGACCTTATAACAAATTTGTTAAAGCCGTATTTAAATGTATATCGCAAATAATGTAATGTGCATGAATAGAGACTGTGTGATTGGTATGGATTAGCTACACAACGACTTTTTGAACAACATACAGCAGTCTGCTGGCAATGCCTCTTACCTTCTTGCCAATTACCTGACGATTGGATTCCCGCCGCGTCGCTATCTTGGCCGATTTTGAGTCCATTTGCGCATAGGGCGATTCAAATGCATTCGCCGTTGGAGTTGTGGTGTCCGCCTTCCGTTTAACGCCCTTCTTCATTTTGGCCGGCTGCTGAGGCGGTATTACCGCATCAACTCCCACACCCGCCGTACTATTCACATAGGCCTGCACCGCGTTGGCGGAATTCACGGCAGCCGATGGTATTGTCACGCCCGTACCCGCTCCAGTGGCGCCGGCTGCTGCTGCCGCAGCACTAGCGTTACCATCGAGCAGCGATGCCGTCTGTGCGCCTGCGCCATAACCCGCCTGCGTTAAGGTGGCCGCGAAGGCGGCCGCCGCTGCTGCTGCTGTTGCTGTTACACTCCCAACACCAGCTGCTGCCTTTAGAGCTGCAGCGACGGCATTTACATTAGTTTCTGCAGTACCGCCGCCAGCCCCACCCGCTGCGCCGGCACCAATGGCCGTGGTCGTTGTATTTGTGCTTCCCGGCACCGTATGTGGTGGCATTGTGCTAATCGGTGGTATGGACGGTGCACCGCCGCCTGTGCCGCCACCGCCGGCCGTTGATGAAACCGTGCCGCCCATGGCTGAGAGAGGTCGTGATCCGGCCGCCGCTGAAGCGGCTAAATGTGCAGCATTCATGACGGGCAACTGTGAGGATTGTGCCGCCTTAGTGGTTGCCGATCCTGGAGTGCTGCTGGCCACTGCACTACCACCAGCAGCACCAGCACTCGCGACTCCAAGACTTGTGGCGCTCTGTGCTTTTGGTGTGGCTGGTGCTCGTTGCTTTTTACGTCCACCCTTCGCTGTGACTGGCTCCAGTTCAAGCTCCTCCTTGGGCATTGATTCAATCTTCTGGAGAAAAACTTTTTCAAGTGTTTGCGCCATAACAACAACATCTTCGCCTGGTTTGTTATACACATAGCAATTACTAAACATTGTATTGAAATCATGTATGGCTTCCTTGGCCGACCAATAATAATTATTTTCCAGCCGTTTCTTTATCGTGCCCATATCCATGGGATGTTTAATTATCTTATGATAGTCGGGCAGGTTTAATTTTTTCGCATCCACAGGCTGTTGAAATGGCCAAGAGAAATTATGTTTCCAAATGACCTTCATGACGGTTTTGATCAAATATTGCAATTGATTTGTATTGCGACCGGGTCGCTCCGGTGGTGGTACCACCGGAGGCTGCACAATACCATTGATAGGCTCCACAATGGGCTCATGCCGTGGCGGTGGGTCGTTGGACGACATGCTGCTGCTTCTGCTCCTCCTACTACTTCCTCTGCTGTTGCCTCCGTTTGTGGTTATTAACTTGTGGTCGCTGATACTACTGCTGCCAAATACCTCGTATGAATAATGATGATGATGTTGATAATGAAGCGCTCTCCTTTAGTTAAGCTGACAGACAGAGACGGCCGACACACACAATCCCCGGGGCCGTCTCGTCCTCGCTTTCCTGCGCTTTCGACTGTGCTCAGAGCAGCAATATTTTTGTTAACTTGCTGTGTCTGCAACTAGTCGAATTGCTCCTGTGGCTGCGATTGTGCCTACTGTTGTGTCTACTTCTGTGACTACCACAACCACCCAATTTTATTTGGGGGACTGATTTGACTAAATTTTCACCACACCCTCTTACTGCGGCTGCAACTTCTCCTCTAACTCCTCTCAATGCTGCTGTTATTGATCTTGTTATCCTTGTTATTGATGTTGTTGTTAATATTGGTGTTCTTGCGATCCTTATTATTATTGTTATTGCTGCTGATCTTGTGGGTGCTGCTGGGTTTTGTTTCCGTTTCAACGCCGTATGCATACTCAGCAAATTTAGGTAACTGTAACAAAAGTACAAGCTTGCATTTAAACCGACATTTTAAATAAGGGAATTGGAGGAGAGACTTGATCTTAAAAGTTACTCCTTACTTACCACCACGTGCCGTCTCACTGGCGTGGCGTGTGCTTCCGTATATGGTGGTTTCAATGGTTCTCAGCAGTTGCACTTTGCCGGAGTTGTCTGTGCATTTTTATTTTGTTAAAAAGCACAGTGTTATTTAATTATATTTATTTATTATTTTTTTGTTGTTTTTTGTATTGGAAGTTGTTAGTTTTGCAGCTGTAGTTGTTGGTAATTCTGCTGTTAGCTAATAGTACTTAATAGTCTCTCTCTCAGTTATAGTTGATGAGTTATAGTGTTGTTGTGGCACGAGCTGGTGTTGCTTCTTCTTTTATTGGTCATTTGTTTGTTTCCAGCAGCGATATCTTTAAAGAAAAAGTTGTAAAGTTGGACTTTAATTACATATTTCAACAAAAAAGAAGCAGCTTCTGCTGCTTACTATCTATGAATGTTATTATTAATATTAATGCCGTTGCTCTACAGTTTAATAAACAGAAATAAAATGAATATTGTATTAAAAAACGCTAAATACAAAAAACATTTATGGTTGTCTAAAGCTTTAGTGTATTTACATCCGACATGGATATTTAGCTGCGAAATCCACCACCAGACATGACGACGTCAATTGTCGCAATCGTATATTGCGCGCCAACGCTCGACTACTCAGATCAATATCTTGAACGAGTTGTGCCTTTCTTATGCCGGTCGACCCAGCATTACACTTATAATTGCTTAATAAACTTACGCTAGCCATAAAGGAAACTCTCACACTCAAACTTAATATAAATACATTTGTGCACATACATGTGTAGAACATACATACATACATACAAAACACAGTGGAAAAAAAAATGCGCATGCACGCGCATTCAGTGGCGCCTAAATTGCACACTATCAAAAATTGTATTGTTACATAAACAAAATGTCATTCGACCTAAAGGTATCTGCACATAACATATCGTAATTAATATAAACAAAATGTATGACAAAATACATGAACCATCTCAGAAGTGATAGAAACTGAAGAGGCAAAAAATAAAACTTAACAGAACTACAACTTCATCAATTTAGCGCCCATAAAACGAAAACAACAAACCAACAACGTTGCGCCTGCACTTTGATCAAGAAGTGCGTTTGGATTTGTTTTTCCGACAATATTTTTTTTTTTATTTTATTCTCACACACACTGTTAATGCTGCTCTTATAGATGCTTCTTCTTCTTTAGATTTTTGTATTCTGCTTGTTTTGGCACTCACAGCGTTTCGTACACACAGCAACAGCATAGAACGAAAGAGAGCGGCGGCGAATACAATGTTCGAATTTCGAATTTGAGAGCAAGAGCGGCATGCACACATACAAACACGAGATTCCCGATAACTTATATAGTCATCTCGTTTGCGCGCTACTAACGCAAAAATATTTAGAATGGTCTGTCTGTTATGTTCCCTCATATTGTAGAATTACGAACAAAATATGTTGTACACATAAATACTTATATTGTTGCATTTATATTTCTAATTACGTATTTAGTTTCCGACTGAAGGCAATTATCCATAAAATGCACGTACACATTTGGAGTTGCCGGAGAGCAATTTGTTTTTTTGTTCTATGGCAGCGCGCTCATGTAGTGGTAAATTTAATGAAACTCACCACACAGACAACGAGGTGCCGTTTGCTTGCGTGTTTGCTTAAGTTAAACTTGGTTTCTGTTTCAGCATGATTCATACATAATAAAAGACGCTTTGATTGTTGTTGTTGCACATTGCAACTACACACAGAGAAGAAGCGACAACACACATACACAAATTTAAATACAATACTCCTCATATGAGAAAAATGCATACGTAATTTTGGCTTTAACACCCTCAACTAGCTGGCGTTGTGGTGAGCTCACGGCGACACCATTGTATATGCATACATACATATGTATATAGTATGTGTATATAGATGCATATGTAAGCATACCACAAACACATAACGTTTATAGCGCACAGTGGGTATTTCGGCAAGTAGTAAACAATGGATAATTAAATATAGTAGCCTAAGCTATAAAAGCCCTCCACACAACTAGTGCTTACTAATTTATAGTTGTTAACATAAATAATCTGCATACAGCGGCCGGCCGGTCAGCCAAGCTAAAAATATTGATAAGTTTATCTATAGGAAATAATATTCTCCCAATTATTTTGTTTTAAAAACCAATTCAATCGATTTCGCCGATTAAATACAAAAAAACATTCCCACTGTACACGCACACATTTAGTTAGCCAGCCACCAAGCAAAAGAATATTGGTGATTTTTTTGCGGTTGCTGCTTTTCTGGTGTATTTGCGCGTCCGCTTTATTGCAGTGACGCGAAATTAAGCGGAAGAGAAGCAAACGGCAAAAACAGCAGCAAGGGCAATAAAATTACAACTACATAGGTATTTACGTCATTTGCCGCGAAAACCGCGTAATGTATTTTTATAACGCGCAATTATTTGTTATTTTAAAATCAAATGAAACATGTCAGCAATGGAACTCTCAAATGCGCTGCTCTCACAACAAAACAAAATATCTGGCGACACACACACACTCATATAGGGAGCTGAAGTAAACGTGCTGCTGTTGTTGTTGTAATTATGTAGTACAGTAGACGACTTTGAGTTTTCAACAATTTACGTAGAATGCTACAACAACAACGTTGTTTGGTGCTGATTCGGCTGAGCCGCCGTCGTCATTTATAGTGTTCGTGTCTTTTTCTCTCTTCTTCGCAGTCGTGTTTGCATTTGTGTGTGTGTGACGGACCGCAATATGTGAAATTCAAGGCAAACACGATGACGTCGAGTTGGTAGCAGCAGAAGAAGAAGCAGCGGCATGGCATGCATGGTCAGAGAGGCGCCGGCGAAATAATAGCGGGCTGTGACAAAAATCGAAAAAGCGAAGTTTACAATTTTGCACCTAATATATTTAGTATATACGTACAACTATTGCAATACAATTTTTATAATTGATAATAAAAATATTTGTTTTACATAAATTTTAGAATTTGGCGGTAAAATTTGTTGTTTCTTCACTTGAATAAATACCGGTGGCATGTCAACATCAGATTCGCCAAGCTGAGCATCATTCATTAATATTTTAACTAGCATGCACTTGAACTATACGCAAAAATAATTCCATTTAAATAAATAAAATACTCGAAAAAATGCTCTACAGAAACTCACATCCATGCTCATACCAACACATTCGAACGCAAGGCACCGAGAGAGCGAAGCTATGGTGATTTGCAGTGCGAGGAAGCGAGATAACAATATAAGCGATGGTCGTAAAATGTAAAAATGGCGGCGTCAAACGGCGGCACGAGACTCAACGAGGACAAGCGGCAAAAAGCATCAGCAAATTTTTTGCATTTGCTCTCGATACTGTTGTTGTTGTGTTAGTGTTGATGTTGTGTATCTGCAAGTATGCGCTGCTAACGGCGACGTCATGAGTAACGAACGCCAACACGAATGCGGCAACTGCAGCACACCTCTAGGTTAATAAATCGTGCTGATAGTGGCACGAATTTTAAGCCGGTTTACATGCAGCGCAAGCCATCGTAGCAGAAGCTGCGACGTCGACAGCGCAGCAGCATATGCAATTCACAAAGCATCAATGAAATTATTGCGACTGACAACACAGCAAACACCAACAACGCCCGGCCCGGTACATACGCATAACAATAAATATCAAAATAAAAAAAAAAAAACAAACGAAAAAACGAGCAGACACTTTCCACAACAATCTATATACATAAATGCTATGAATAGATATTTCAACTACTTTGCGCGCCAAATACAAACAAATTCATCAATTAAATATATTTTTTTTGTATGATAACAAATAAGGTAATAGCATATGAAGATATACGCGTTGTATGTATACAAAACAACATCAATAATGGCGGAAATCTGTGCAAAGTTGAAAACTGTTTACATCGAGGGCCTTTGAAGGCCAAATATTGTTGATATCTTGTTTGGAGCTCTTTCAAGCTGTTTACCCTTTCAAAGATATAGACCGCCACAATTTCAACGTTTGACTGACATTGCAAAAATAATTCTATTCGATTAATTGATTAATCAAGTGACACTCGCCTTTTGGGGGAATAACCTTATTGTTATTAAACAGATTGAATTTCGGGAGCAACGATAACAATAAAAGAAACGAAAATGTCTTCCACATAGACTTAACACTCATATAGTATACTTTAAATAGTTCAGATATATGTATAGCATGAAGTGCGCTTTAAGTATGACAATCAAGACACATACATTGTATAATTTAAATAAACACTACTCCATAGAAATCTGCAACCATGCTTTCTTTCTCTCAGTGCATTCGAATATGAGTTGCAGCTGCCAGAGGCCAGTTTTATGATATGGTCTAGGGGCAGCATTAAGAGAGGGGTTGATGCTTATTGCAGCTTTTTTTTTAAGTCGACTGACTTAATGGCGGCAAAATAAAGAAAAACAGGAAGCAAACAAATAAATATACTGTATTCAACTTTAAACCGTCCCTAAAATGCTGAATCCTAGATTAAATATCATTACCTAATGCTGTTTTTATCAATTATTATTTACTTACATTTATTGTTGTTTTTTGCTGCTGCTGCTGTTAAATCCGTACTTTAGCTACGTTGTTGTTTTTATTAATATATATTTTTTTTTATTTAAAAAAAAGAGTTGTAGTGGTACCAATATAAATGAAGGCTGTTTTTGTTTGTTGTCGATGATGTTATAGTTGAATTGAATTTCCAAAAGAATTTATATCCCACAATATTTCATTACTGCTGCAGTTGTTGCGCGTTATGTTTTCAAAAATGGGATTTAATGTAATTTGTTGTTGGTGGTTTAAAATAATTGATTTTTGTTGCATGTGTTTCAAAAAATACAACAGGAAAAAAATTCTACACAATTGCTAAGCGTAACTGTAAAACAAACAATAAAAACAAAATATTGACGTTTTAAACAATGGCCAATGAATATTTTATATATATAAACATAGATGTATATTTAACACTTTTTTTTATACAAAAAATAGGCGCAACAATAAAAAGCCGCAAATACCGAAATATCGTACCGACAGACAGACAATACTGACTGACCGACCAACTGACGACCAGGCAGCGACAGAGCGACGACGGCGCGACAATCGAAAACACGCACGCAACGCTGTACGTGCACATACACACACGCATATATATGCATGTATGTATATACATTCATGTACATATAATAATAAATGCCACCATAAAATTATAGGAAATATGTATTATATTGGAAAAAATAAAACAAAAAATATTATGCAAAGTGAAACTTTTTCGCGTTCGGTTTTAGCTTTGCAAATAATGTTGTATTAGTATGAGCGTGGGTTTGTATTTGTGTGTGTATTCTTTTTGTTAATATAATATTCACTTTGCCTTTTTACTGCTGATACTGCTACCACACACACTCGCACACGCATACACATATAGACACACATTGTCAGCGCTGCTGTTGCTTCTTCTTCTTACTCTACAGTGCTGTCTGCTCGCGCTATTCGTTGCTTGCTTTGTACCACCACAAAAAAAAGAAAAAAAATTTGTCATGTCCATTGAAGTCTCACATTTTTCAAATGTAATTTTTGGCGCAAAATATATTGGATTTTTATCAAGTTTCATTTGCAAACACTAGTCCGTACATTTAATAAGCACTTTTCTATAAATTTATATAATTTCTGTAGTTTTTTACCATAATTTTTTAGCAATTTCCACACACCTATATACGTACGCGCTACAATTTTCGACAAACGCGCGTTTCTTGTGAGTAAAGCAGCCGTCGATGTCGTTGTCGCCATCAAATATACAAAAATTTTCGAAATTACTCAAAATGCGAATACAGACACATACACACGCAAGCACGCGCTCACATAAGACTAGCTGCACCTTTCACACACATTGGTGGTGGCAATGCAGAGTTGGTGGTGAATTTTAAATGTGCATGTGTGTGTAACGCGAAACAAAATGGCTGTCCCACAAAGTGACAGCGCGCATATATTTGGCATCGGAAATGTTTTACGCCTTGCTAGATTTCAGACCATGTTCATAAACAACAGGCGATGTTTAAAGCACGTAATTTGTTATGCATTCATTTGAACGCTTTTGTGTACAGTGCTTGAAATATTTTAATTACATTTTAGCATTGACTAGCACATTTTTTCGTGATTATTTCAACACGTAGCGGCGTGTGTACAACAAAATCTTACGACAGCGTTTTTACAGACTGTTGCAGCATTAACAGAGCCTATGTTAACTAACGCTCGCCAAATTATCGCATTCAAGTGCCATCACTGAACAGTCGTAATTGTGGCGTTGCCATATTACATGAACATTGAAGTCCAACAGCAGGAGTTGCAAAAGCAAACTGCATTTTTAGAAAATTTCTTATACATTTGCACAGTCAGCCAAAAATGCAGATGGTTGAACGCGTATGTTGCTATCTTATTTACAATTTTTATTCGTATAAAATATCACATTACATACAAATAAATGTATTCAATATGATCTTATTACATGACATCCATACATACATACATATTTGAACATATAGGCACAATAACGGCTGTTTTAATTGTTGTGCATTAATGAAGAGTTATCGCGTTCATAGTCAAGGAAAAATAAGAAACGCAAGAACAATAAACTCCAATCCTTTCCATATTTTCTAATTAGATATGTACAAATATTCAAAAGTAAGGTCATATTGTTATTAGTTAAAAGTCTGCGGATAGTTGGACAAACATATCTGCTACTTTTATGTTTAAGCACTACGTGACTCGCAGTTTGCCATATTCGCGAAAAAATAACAGGTATTTAGATGTTGTCCATCTCTATCGGAAGCAGAGGACAGCACATTTACGAGAGAATCACGATTTAAATTGTGTTGGCGAAAATCCAAGGCGGATACCAGGTTGGCAGACAAAGCGTTAACATATTACAGGAACTACAAACATATAATTACGCATTAGTTGACGCAAAACGCAATTTTCAGGCCAAATCCAACGGCGACAACGCATACACATACCCACTCAGACACAAACGCGTGTCGATACACACCAACACTAGCAACAGAAGTTAAAAGTCGTTGTAGCCATCATGCCACGAGGTAAGTATGTTAACCACAAAGGCCGCAGCCGTCACTTCACATCGCCCGAGGAGTTGCAGCAGGAATCGGAGGAGGAGAGCGAACAAAGCAGCAGTGGCAGCGAGAACGAGAGCGGTGAGGAGAAGGCGGCCGGCGGAGCCTCCTCTTCGGCAAAGCCGAAGCAACAACAGTCAGCTCGCAAACCCGCAAGACCGGCACAAAAGTCGCGAAATGCCGCAGGCAGCTCGTCCGAGGAAGACTCTGAGGAGGATTCTGAAGATGATTCAGAGGCAGAAGCGCGTGGCGCCAAAAAGGGTGTAGCTTCACTCATCGAGATTGAGAATCCTAATCGTGTTACAAAAAAGGCCACACAAAAAATCTCGCAACTCAAAATTGATGAGAATGCACCGACTACCTCCACCAAGCCGGAGCTCTCACGTCGTGAGCGCGAACAAATCGAGAAACAGAAGGCGCGACAGCGCTACGAGAAGCTACATGCAGCGGGCAAGACAACCGAAGCCAAGGCGGATTTAGCGCGTTTGGCACTCATTCGGCAACAGCGTCAGGAGGCGGCAGCCAAACGTGAGGCGGAAAAAAAAGCAGCTGCTGATGCCAAGAAGCCGGCGGCCAAGTAGTTACAAGCATATTTTGATGATGGAGTGCAGGGCTAATGGCAATTAGTTAGTTACAAAAACAAAAATGAAGTAAACTGAAATAATTGTTGAGTAAATGATCAGTTTAAATAGGGCAGCAAAATCCCTTCCAATGGGCTATATTGTAAACCTATCGTAAACGTAAGCGAATCACAATTGTAAGTAATGTCTAAAGCTCTTTAACTATCATTACAATCCCAGTCCAGCTTCCCCAAAGTGAATTCAGATTTGTTTGTGAAAAGGCCTAAACGTGTTTAATATTTCAAGAATTTTTTCTAACGAAGTTGGACTATGCTGCCTGTGTTCTTTTGTTTAAAATGTATGCTTTCAAATTTAAAAAGTTTATTCAGGCAAAAATTTGTATACTGGCTTAATACATATTTATTTGGTTAATTTTGAAGTCTATTTAAGAAGTTAATTCCTTAGTAGCTTTTTTAAAATCCTAATCTTTTGTAACTGAAAATTATAATAAATAAATATGCATATATGTATTTATATATACATATGTATGTAGCTAAAATCTAATGGAGACTACGTTTGGTCGCAAAGGAATTTTAATGCATTTATATCATAAATTATAAGATAGTCGTCTACCAGTTTGAATATATTGTTTATAAACGTCTATTCAAAATTTTTAAAGTCTGTTGTATCTCTTTTTTGTTTTTAATAGAATAAAAACACTTTCCTGACCCCAATTTTAATAAGCAATTCTAAAGGAATACCTAAACATACAATTCTTAGAGTTGCACATGAAGATATCACACATTTTTCGAACTATATGCATTGAGACTTAATGGTCTGTCTTTAAATACAAATGTGTGAGTAGTTTCTTAGACTTAATGGTCTTTATCGCCAAATTCAGCCATTCTGCACTTAAACAGAATACAAACTCAGATTTCTCATATACGTTAATTCATATATCAAAGAAGCGCATATATTCTAGTCATAAAACAAATACTAATTAATTCTACAGATTGTGGGTTCCAACTCTACACGACGCCCCAAACTTCCTCGAAGGCATTGCATAGCTTGGAGCACGCTATTGCCGCCGACAGTGGATAATTGCTTATCGAGAAAAGCTCTTCGGTGTAGTCGGTTTTAAGGACACCATGGGCAAAAGCACCTATAACGAAGACCACTGGCTCGTTGTATGCCTCGGTACCCTCTTCACCATGTGGCACTAGGTCCCTGCAATTGGTCACCAGTTTGCCAGAAAAGGACATGGCGTACTTTTTGCAACCCACCGGCAGATGATCCGTTATGGGATTCTTAATAACACTCATCAGACGACGTGAGGAGTCGCTAGCACGTATTTGAAATTTATGCAAAAGTTGCACCATCAGGCCGGCAAAGCGTTTAAAGGTGCGCGGTATGCGTGTTTGTGGATTGATCTCGATGAGCACGTTTCGTTCGGTACGCACGAACACCTGTAGAAGGCCGGCTCGGTTTAGGGGCGAGTCGAAGAGCATTAACAGGCACTGGTGGGTGATATCGGGACGACAGGATCCGGGATCACGGTTATTTTTACGCATTATGCCCGCATGTTCATCGCAGTTGAGCAGCTCGAAGGTATTGTGCACCTGTATAGAGCAATATAATATGCTGTTAGATAAATATATATACATACATACATGTAACATGCCTACCTTAACCGTTTCTAGCTGCGCACCCTCGAGCACAATAATCAAACGTTTCTCGCTGGCATTTACATGAAGCACTTTGAAGTGTTTCTTGTCTAAATCGAATTCGGGGTCGTCTGCCTTTCGCCCCGTAAATTTCCGTTTGCGATTTATAACCTTGCCCTGCCCGCCCATATTCTTGATTTATATTTACCAATTTAAATGCGATACGAAAACAAATAACATGTGCACGCGGCGGCTACTAGAGATGTGTAGTAGCTGCTAGCGATAACATTGACTATCGGCTGCCAGTCACAAGCGATAGGCACCATCAACAGCTGATCCAGCTAAAATTGTATTTTTTTTGTGAAAGGTTTTGGCAATTGAGAATTTTTAACAAATAGCAGTTGAACAATGGCTGCCGCACGTCGCGATATAGCACCATTTTTACAGCGTGTGCGTGCCTTCCTTTTGGGCGTAAGTAATTTGATGCTTTGATTTTTGGAGTCTGCTCATTCCTGTTTCGGTTATGTAAGCTTTTCCTGTTTGTTTTTATTTTAGCGCGAACACACTCTCGCCCTACGCTTCGAGGATGGTGTGGCAGACCGCACACAGCCCCAGCCCAATATACCCGAAGGTCCTTCACACCAATACTCCGCCAACTATTATTGTTTGCGCGATGGACGTCGTGAGGTGTTTCCACCAATCGATTTGGTGCAGCAACAGAAGCTGTTGGAGGCATCTGGAGATGCTGGTGCAACGCCCAAATCTAATCTGCCCACACCGGGGAGGGTGTACGCCTGGGACTAATGCCAGCATCAAAAAGAAATAACGCAGCCGGGCTGAAATTAAACTAACCCTTTTTGCGTTCTTGTTGAAAATGCCGATTAAGATTTAAATAGAAACCAATTTAAAACACGCGAAGTGGACATTATTAATAATTATTAATTTATTCATACATTTCACACGTTTTGCAGTATTACCCAACCAAATCTAAACAAATAATCAACTAGTAAACGCGTTTCTTCAGGCCCGCATTAATGCCGGTCGAGGATCGCAAAATCAGGTTCATTTGCGGCTGGACTTCCTCACCAAGAGGCAGGAGTTCGAAATGTCTGAGGATTTTGCTCACAGTGCTCTTCATCTCCAGCATGGCAAACTTTTGTCCAATGCAATTTCGCGGACCTGCCGAGAAAGGTGTATAGGCGAAGGGATTGATCTCACCTTTGCGCTCGGCACTGAAACGCTCTGGAATAAACTTTTCCGGCTCTGGGAAATAATCCGGGTCCCGCAAGGCGTGATAGGTGAGCAGAATTATGTTCGTGTTCGCCGGTATCAATTTCCCATCTGCAAGCATAAATTTAAAGTAGCCAAGTGGTTCCCCATTGCTTCAGGACATACCAAGCGTTACGTCTTGAGTGACACGCCTCCCAATCATTGGTACTGGAGGATATAGTCTGAGCGATTCTTTGATTACACACTCCAGATACTTCAGCTCATTAAGCTCTCGCATGCCCACTGGTCGTGACTTGTCATCACCTATGACCTCGCGTATCTCCTGGAAAAGCTGCGCCTGCACTTGCGGATGCCGTGCGATCAGGTACAAAGTGAAGGAAATGCCACTGGTAGTGGTATCGTGACCTTCAAACATGAATGTGTCTACCTCTTCGCGTATGTCTTCATTGCTTAAAGGTTCGCCCCCCACCGTCGACTGAAGCAGCACGTCGAGCAAAGCCATGCGTCGTTTGCTGCCCACATCCGCATCGTCGTTTGATTGCGATGCCTGATGGGTACCATCGGCTATAGATTTTTGTAAAGCTTCGCGTCGTTCCTCAATAACCCCATCAGTGAAGTCATGCATGGACTTGATGTTCTCATGCAGCTTGCGATAGACTCGTGGGAAAAAAACACGCATCCATCCATCCAGACGCTGAATGGGATTCATAAAGCGCTCGGCAGTTATGCTGGATACTCTGAAATTAGATGTTTACGTGAGGACTGCTTAGTAATATGCTAAGTGCGTGCCAAACTTACATGTTAACCGATTGCACATAAGGAAAATTTGGTTGACGTTGCGCATTGATTTTCACGCCCATGGCCGTCTCGGCTATGATGTCTAAAGCCGCCAGGCATGTGGCAGGGAACAGATTGACCACCGTTTTACCATCGGCGCGATCGTATAGTTGCTCTGCCATTACAGCACTCTGCTGATCAAACACCTCAACAAACTGCTCCAGAATCTTGAAATGAAACGTGGGCGTGATGATCTTACGACGCGTATGCCACTTTTTGCCAGTGCTCAGCAACAGGCCCGTCCCAAGCCAACTCTGAAGCATGTCATAGAGGCTGTCCTTGGTGATCACCTGCTGACTACTCAGTATGGCCTCCATCATGCGAGCATCGGCGGTCATGAAGCCGCTTTCGTGGAGCACCCATATGCGTATATTCTTACCGAAATCATTGATCAGGCGCTGCTGTAAATCAAAGACGGCTGCAAATAAAAAAGCTGTTATTGAGGATCTAAATTGATTTAGAAGCTTTGCCTACTTTTTGGCGACTCGCGAATTAAATTATGTCCATTGCCCAAGATTGGAATGGTGCGCGGTCCACGTATGCCAGCCTTCTCAAAGAATCCATTCTGCCGTCTCCTATACAGATAGTCCGCCAGACATATAGTCGTCACTAGCAGCAACAGTAGTTCCAAAAGCATTGCGTCGCAATTCTCTTTTCCAACTAAATCATGTTAACAACTGTTGCACCGTTTTTGTACACAAACGTGCTTGCTATAATTGATAAGAAAACATACGTTATCGAGCTTTTGGTACTATGAGCTCTTACATTCATGAACTGTGGGTCCGAGATAAGTAGAGTAATTTAGATTTAGGTTTGGATTTCGAAATCGATGAAATTCAATTGCAATTTCACTTCTGCTGCTTATCAAAATTAAATGCAGATCCTCTCGAAGAATTTAAGCACGACTTGGGCTATTATTTAATGTTTGATTAGGCACCCGACAATCTGCACAGAGACAGAGAAAATGTGCTTTCAAATCGGGGAACCGAATCGTATTTCACTTTCAAGCCTGGAACTGAATTATAAGTTTCGATGAAGGGTTCTATTTTGCTTCATTTTATGGGTTTTGATTTGTCAAATGGTTTATAGTATATCGTTCCAGGTGAGGGTTTCAGTCCCAGCTTTTAGTTTCGTCAACGTCTCGCCTCTCAGCTTACATTATTTGAAAAGTGCAGGTTCAGTGTGAAGCGACAGTTTATTCGTACCCGTCGCCATACAAATCACCGTGATATTGCAATATAAAGTTGGCCAAGACCTTTAAACCATCGCAACATTTGCGGTTGTTCGACGTGCGTATCTGATAAGCCCAACTGGATTATTGTGATAATTATTTAGTCGCTCAATTAAGAGGAATGTTGTGTCTCGCATTTTCTACTACATACAAGTATGTATGTGTTTAGGTACAGCATTAAAAAGCATTTTACAAAATGTGGACTCAACAATTTCTAAGCAATTAAATCTTGAAATACAATCGATATAGAAACATAGGCAGAACAATCATTTTTTGGTGAGCTCTACTAAAATAACTCACCAATTTAAAGCTTCAAGAGCAATGCAGAGTCTATAAACATTGCATATGAAATCAGCATAAAATAAATTAAAAATCTAGTAATTATATGTAGATACTTTTGCACTTTAAAATGAATACGCGTCCGTTTTTGATTCGTACTACTCGTGTTGACGCACGATCTGTCCTTTTATTCAAACTCACGCTGTGGAACTTGATTTCTATTGGACAATATAATTAGGATGGTCCACATGCTGCGTTTGTAGGGCGCCGCATGAGGCCGTGTAATTCTTTTGGTTAGTCAATCTTAAACTAGCACGGTGTTGTAAGTATCTGTGTGAACCCTAATCTATAAGTGTACTTCTAGACGATGCAGCTGCGCGATCTCGGTCACAACTCTTCTGGGCGTGGGACCGCATGTTAACATAATGCAAGGCTTATGGTCGTTAAGGCATGTTCATGCCTGAACATAATACATATTTCAGTTTTCATTACAAAGTCGTTCATAAGCCCCATTTCTTCACAAAAATGTGGGCAATCTAGATAATTGGTGTGTCAATAGCAATCAAAACCACTTTTGCCTATCAAAGGCACTATTTGTTTATAAATTAATGCATCAAAGAACATGTAACTCAGGAAAGTGTGGAATATGTTTCAAATCTGCAATTAAGTTGAACGTCAATTAATTTTACGCATCATTTGGTTTGCACAATATTTTTGATTGATTTCGGCCAAGTAGGATGCTTTAGTTAAATTCTGGTAACCAAATTGCAAAATACATTATTTTTAATACCCAATTAAAGCTATTACAGCGAAGCTATCTGCTATACATTCTACTTCTTATACCCTCTACCGGGCTTTTTTTGCGAAGTTGTACAATTTTATTGCTCTAGAAGCCAAGTCGGATCATGACGGATGCAAGTTTTTTTTTTAAAGTCAAGTAAAGAAATATATAGGGAACATATTTTGAAAAACACTCTAAAAATAGGTAGTTTGAAAAACAACTTTTTTTTAGAAAACTACAAATGCAAAAGACATCTGTTTAATTAAATAATGCATAAAATTAATACAATAGCAATGTAAATCAAAACAACAATGATTTGTCACAAAAGATGCAGAACTTGCATAAAATGGAGAACATCGTTGATAACTAAAAAAAAGGGTGAACTTTAAGTGCACATATCTCCTAAACTATAATTTATTTATTTATTTGGGATTTATTTGAGAGTTAGATTTTCGTAATCTTTGGAAAATGTACTATGAGGTACGTTTCATCAACATCCTCAAAGCGTTCATGAAATTTTGTAAGAAATAAAATATGTAAAATATTGTAATCTTAACCGATTCACAAAATGTTATAATGAAGCCTTTTAATGTAACTTTATCTTTGGTATTAATTCACCTTACATTTTCGGCCGCTCAATGTATTCATGATCGTCAGTCCTACAAAATTTTTCAATGCTAAATAGCTAAACAGGTTTGTTATCTATAAATATATCGTTATCATGATATAATCTTGACATATTGATACATATTTTCTATCTAAAAGTATAAGTAAAAGGGCTAGAATGCCAATAAATAAAAACAAGCTAAGAAAGTGACTTCGCTGGAGGTTTTAGCCACATATTGTGTATTATTCTTATCTGAAATTTTAATTTTGTTGCGATTCATACATACATATGTATACTATATGTGCATATGTATGTACGTATGCACCTGCAGAGATCAATAAGTCGATATATTGCTGGGCATATGGAATGGGAATTTGCCGGTTGATGAGACATCAAGACGAATTCCATTGGCTGCTTCTGTAATTTATGAGTTCGAATGAATTAAAGGAATCACGATTCTTTGCATCGCAGAACAGAGAGCATTTAACAATTTTATTCAATTCAGCATTCGGAGCGAAAAAGTTATATACAAGTCTGCAGACATAAGAAATACCACCACACATATAAACCACAATTAACAATTATAATGTTCCGAAATCTCAATTATATGCTCCTTCAAGTTAAAAGATTGCCGTTCCCAATGGGATTGGCGTTCCCAATCACAATCATCCTGGTTCAGGGTATACATATATTTGGAATGGTGTGGTTTACATTTACAGACAGATTGTTTTGCACATCATATCATAATTTCTGATTAAATATTGTGTTTCATTTCAATTAGTTGCTCTTCACTGCTAACTCTCTCTTTTTCTATTAATCTTGGTTCGGGTTTATCTTAGCAAATGATATTGACACGCAGGAGAACCCTTAGAGTGTGCCTTCAATGTATAAATAATCAATATTTATATAAAAAAAAAGCATTCAAGATTACTGATTATTAGTAGAACCACTGGTTTTTGTGCCAACTGCAACTATCTGGTGTTGCATATATAATTCAATCGAAGAATGATCTTTTCGATGAGATGAGAGCAACTAAACTAATCTTTCAGATTTTTATGTTTATTAAATTCATGTTTGAAATTTGAACCAAAAATAACATTAAAATCCCAAAGGTCCCAAAAAACGAAATATTGATTTTAAGTAAATGGTTTCGCATATTTATTTAAAGCTTCGGGTGTCTACAATACAAACTAAAAAGTAAATCTTTAAATCTAAAAAAAAAACAACAAAAAGTATTATTATTAAACTATCTACAGTTGATTGCGTGGTCTGAGGCCGATTTGGACTCCATTCTTGGAGCGTATGGTTACATTAAACATAGGACGGACCGCCTCGCCCAAAGGCAACAGCTCGTAGTGTCGGAGAATCTTGCTGACTGTACTCTTCAGCTCCAACATGGCAAACTTCTGGCCAATGCAATTGCGGGGTCCCGCTGAGAAGGGGACATACGTGAAGGGATTGATCTTGGCGGCATTCTCCTCGTTGCTGAAACGCTCCGGCTTGAACTTCTCGGGCTCGGGATAATATTCCGGATCACGCATGGCCATGTAGAAAGGCAGACTGATCAACGTTTTGGCGGGAATGAGCAGGTCCTCTATAATTGGGATACAGATTTTACAATTGTGTCAAGAGTTTGAGGGCGAGATCGGGCTAACACTTTAACACTTACCAACAAGTATATCCTCTGTAGTTTCACGACCAATGGTCGGCACCGAGGGATACATGCGCAGAGCCTCTTTAACGACACACTCCAAATACTTGAGCTCGTTCAGCTGTTGCATGGAAACTGGCTGCTTAAGATCTGTGCCCAGGACATCGTGGATTTCCTGAATCAGCTGCTTCTGCACTTCTGGGTGCCGGGACACCTCGTACAGACAGAAGGAAATGCCGCTGGTCGTGGTGTCGTGACCTTCGAACATAAAAGTGTCCACTTCCTCGCGAATGTCCTCATTACTGAGTGGCACGCCTTCAACCGACGATTGCAGCAGCACATCAAGGAAGGCCATTCGTCGCTTCGTGCCCACATCGTCACTGGTCTCCTCTTCGCTGCTCTTGCCGGCAGCATTAACCGCCTGGAGCTTTTGGCGACGCTCCTGAATAACACCGTTCGTGAACTTGTGCATCAGTCCAATACATTCCTGCTGGCGACGATACTTAGCCGGCGATGTGAGGCGGAAAAGCCAATCTGTGCGCTGAGTTGGCGAGATGAAACGCGTGCCCATAATCTGCGCACACTCCGCCAATGCACATACATAGTCGAGCTCTGGCTGGGACTGGGCATTTACCTTCACGCCCATCGCTGTTTCGGTAATAATGTCGAGGGCAGCCAGACAGATGAATGGAAACACATCGAAGGGTGTGCGACCATCGGCCTTGGCCTTCAGTTTCTCAATCAACACATCACTCTGTTGATCGAAAACCTCGACGAACTGCTCCAGAATCTTGAAGTGAAAAGTGGGCGTGATGATACGGCGTCTAGTGAACCACTTTTTGCCCGTGCTCAGCAACAAGCCCGTGCCCAGCCAGCCCTCCATGAAGGTGTACAGACTGCTCTTCTTGATCAGCTTCTGGCTGCGCAATATGGCTTCCATATACTTGACATCAGCAACAACCAGCATGAGATGATGGAGTATCCAGAAGCTCTGCATGCGTCCATATTTTTCGCGACGCTCTATGGAGTTGGTTATATAACCTAAACGAATAAAGCATTATTTGAGCAAATCCCACCCACATCCTCTACCACTCAGTAACTTACTTTCTGTGTCCAGATTGCGCAATGAAAGCGCACTGCCTAATATGGGATAATCCTTGGGTCCCGATATTTTCGCTCGGCTCATAATCGCCTTGCGCTCCCGCTTATACAAATAGTCCCAGATGAACAAAAGCCCAATGGCAGTCAACACGAATTCGATGAACATGTTTCTTCAGTGAGCTCTTTAACACTTCTAATATGATGAGCACAGGCAGCAGCAAGTTTTATATACCCAATCTTCCCAGTGTTACCTTATCACATGCCAAAATAAAACGTTGCAGTACAACAAAATCAGTTGATCTATCTTCCTATAATCTTATCTGGCTCGGATTCGGCCACACAAGCCTCCACAGGCACACTGTCTATTCGTCTCATAATCTGTCTGTCTATCTGGCTGGTTGGCTGCCTGCCTGCCTCCGAGCGGACAAAGTTCAATGGAGCGTAAACTGGTTCGCAATCTCGGATGCTGCTTTGTTTTGCTGTCTGTTGTCTGCTGCTTTCTGTGCAAAGTTCATAGATTCCAGTCCACCCAGATGTAGAATCAAAGCTCGCACACCCACATTTCATACACTTTCCCAAAAGACGTGCCAGTGGCTACAGTAAGAAGTTTGGAAAACTTTCAGACCAGTGGATTTCCAAAGTGAAAGCCCTTTTTACAAACTAGTCCTTCATATTACCATCTGGCAACTAATGTTAATTATAGGTTCCAAATTCTGGAAGATTTTCCATTTTATTATATTATTATCCTTAGTAAATCTGTCAGACTAATAAAGGATTAGTTCACTCATCAAACGATGAATCTAAATTTTTTCCTTTCTGTGTTGATTCCTTGAGGGCTTGCTTTCTTAAATATCAGCCCTTCTACAGGTGCTGCATTGGAAAGTGTATGGGAATGCCGGTGTTCAGCCATTAACCTCGTTTCTTGTTTTGGTGCCTGTTGTGCTATGTGTCCAAAGTTCAGAAACTGGCTAGACGGTGATGTCGATGTCAATAATGTTGTTTTCGCAATCAGAACACACCCACCATTAAGCTTTTCAATTGAAAATGCGCTACCCCAAAAGATTTGGGAGTTATGGTTGCTTGAGTTGCCTTATTCCTAAGGGGGTTAACAATTTTTATAGCTTAGACACGTGTTGTCTTATTGGCATGCTTATGAGGCAGCACTCTGCTACTTCAAAATAATACAGAATTAAGATAAATAATTTTAAATCATAAAATCATGGAATATAAATGTTATCAAAGATATTGCAACAGTCACAGAATCAGAGAAGAAAGAACTCTTTATATGTAATGAAATAGAATCAAAGATATTCATAGGATACATCAAAAAAGGGCTCTTTGAAGTCTACTCCATAAATCATCTTCTGCTGGTAGCGGGTGCAATATGTTCGCCTAGCCGAATAGCATAATTATAAAGAAAATGTTTTGCGTCAGGCTAGTTGGAGGCTCGTCTGGGTCTGATAACGTCAGGCCAAGGCACAATAAAGCCAAAGGCACAACAGCTGCTCTCTTATACGCGTGTTGTGTTCTTATACAGAGCCGATCTCTACTACGAAATCGGAGAAATATGTAGAAGCTGCTGGCTCGTGTGGAGCAGTCGTTGAAAATTCTATTTTTTTCAGCAGTCAAATTTTTGCGAACGCTTATTTATGGTTTGCTGATTACTGGGCACGTGTACAGATTTGTTCACTAATTGGCGACATTAACGCCGCAATAATATTTAAAAAACAACATAAACAAATGCACAAACAGAAGTGAAAGAAATTGTTAATTAAAACGAGCCCCATAAAAAGGTCCTTAAATTTTCATTTGTGTGATCAAAAATGACTGTTCGTGCTGCTTTAATATACAAGTAATAATAATGTGAGACTTATTTTAACTTTAAACGCCCCTCCACATGAATTGCCTCTGCAGGATGATCTGAACTGCATGCAGCTTTAGTGCTTTACATATTATTTCATGACCTTTCAGTCCACTTATATGGCTGACAATAGTTGAAGAACTTAAGTAATTTTTTGACTCTCATTTGAAGCTAAAATTGCACCTCCTACATTCAATCTAAAGCTGATTGGAGGATTGAATAAATGTTGGCGCGAATAATCCAATTACAACTTGATCATAAGCTAGTTAACAGTTTTCTTGTTAACTATTTATGCTTGGGTCGATTTGCCCTTCGAATGTTGCCGTGAATGTTGACTCTCTGCCCTTTTAGGTTGTCTTAATTTTTTAGGTCCTCTTAGATCATCAAGAAACTATTTTGCTCAACTATACTATTATACATTTGCATTTGTTTATGCATTGTCTTTAAGACTTCTCTTTTTAGCATTCTGTGGGATAATCTCTGGGGCTAAACTGTCTAAGAAACGAAGTTCAATAAGAGTGCAATTTCTCTGTTTTAAGTTTCTTCAATTAGTGTTAAGCCAGCGTTAACTCTTTCCTCGTTCCAATCCATTCCAATCGTTCAGAATCCGTTTAAAAATTATAAAGTTGGTTGTCAACTAAATACATTATACTAATAGAATTATCTTAAAAAATAATAAAATAGAAATAGTTTTCGTCAACCAGAAGACACAACAACACAATTATAACTAAATGGAATTCTTTAAGTCACGGTTACACATGCAAATAATTTGCATAACAACTTTGAGTTATTTTAAAAGTAGGCAAATAAGTTAGTTGTAGCATACAATTAATCATTATAGAGTACTACTCCTTAATTGGAGTAACATTTCAGTCATGACTACTTGTATGATTCATTAATTTTTGCATCAAATTTGTTTGTCCATTCGGTTTAGTTTTTCCATACCCTTTACCCCAAGTGTTTTAAGAACTCGTGATTAAACCAGACAAGTCTTTCAAGGCATGTCCGTCCATCCACTTGTAAGAACGCATGGGTTTCTGAAGGAATAAAGGCTAGAGTCAGCAAACTTGGTATGCATGTTCCCCTAAGTCCGGGTATGGATAGGTTTCTCAAGTTAAATAAGTTATCTAAAACTATAAGATGTGTGTACATAGGTAATAAATAAAAATATATTTATTTTATACTCTCGATTCCATGACAAATTAAATGTAAATGTAATGATAACGAGCTCAATATAAGTAACTAGCTGGCACCAGCGGGAAATATTGCTAGAGATAAGATTTAGTAGCTTCATCAATTTCAGACTTTGAGTCGTAAGCAGGTGTTTTTAATCTTGTTATTATTTGTTATAAATCGTATTTCAGCTATGTATAAAGATTAACTGTTTGCATATATTTAACATATTTTGATAACAGTTAGAGCTAAGTCCAAATGAACTGTTATTATTCACAATAACTTAAATTAAACTTATAGAAAAATACAAAAACAGCTTAAACTAGGAGTTTAGTCTAATTTAAAATATGGACTGTCAACATAGATGAACATTTACAATATGTTTCAACTTAAAAGATAAGGCCTCTAAATGAATCTAAAAATAGTTCAATAATGTCAATTTGAATGTAGTTCAGATTATTATGGACATATGTAAACTAATTTCCTCTTCATGCTTTTCTTTGAGACTGACCGATTTTAAAGAATAGGAATATTTACTTAATTAGAATATGCATCAGAAAAAACAACATACTTGCCCTTTGTCGGGCATAGGATTTGGATACCAAGTTTGTTGACACTAGCTTTTATATTTTCTGAGATCTTTGCTTTAATGGACATTTCTATAACGACTCGCCATGTGCCTGCCACGCCTCCTTTGCACTAAACTAATATACCCTTTTAGTCTTTGGGTACAGGGCATAAAAAGTCAGAGAAAAGCTAGAGATCACTTCCAAATATGAAACGCATTGTAGTTGGTATGTACTTGTACATCCGCACATGCAAGCGTATTTATTTTATTGTTTCATTTGTTCTTTATATCATTCACAATAATTGTTATATGAAAGGGTAGATGGACCACAAAGTATGATAATGTTGCTCTCAGATAGAACGAGTTTGTTGAATCAAGACGTTGGCTGATTTTAAATGCATATATGAGTAGTACATATATACATATGTATAGTGAATAAAAAGTGTTGATTGCACAACTAAAGTTCGCTCAAATTGCATTTATAAGTTCGCTGTGGCGTAAACAAACATACAGGGCATAAAATAAATTGAGGCTGTAGATGGCTTGCATTGCGTCCAAGTTCAAGTCTATTTAATATAAAACCGGCTTGAACTAAATGACCAAAAGACGGCAGCTGTGTGCCACAGTTGAAAAACGCTGCGATTACGCTTATAAACAGACACGTATGTACATAAATAATCATATTTAGTTCTATATTAAACGCCGACGCGCGCTTATCGTCGAACGCTTATCGCAGCGCAGCTTATATACAATAAGTATAGGCAGAGTGCAAAACTTGTAGGGTGGTCCCTCTAGAGATTGTTATTGTTTATATGTAGATCGTTGCAATATGTTGTTTATAACAGTGCTTGTCGTTGGCTTCACATGCTTGCTCCTTTGGGACTACCTGACGCGCAAGCGTCAAAATGATATCCTTCATTATATGCCAGGTCCAAGGGCACTTCCGTTCGTTGGCAATGCATTGATCTATCGTGGCTTAGATGCGGAACGTAAGAGTTACTCAATTGTTGTCTAGCTTTATATATTTATTAAACACATAATTCGTTGACTTTGGGCAGAGGTTATGGACTTTTTGTGCTTGAATCGGAAGAAATATGGTAGGATTTATCGTGTCTGGGTGCTTCGTCAGTTGGCCATTTTCTCATGCGATCCCCGTGATCTGGAAATTGTTTTGAGCAGCGCTCAGCTAATTACAAAGAACAATCTGTATAAGTTGTTGCATTGTTGGCTGGGTACAGGGCTGCTCATGAGCACGGGCAAGAAGTGGCATACGCGACGCAAGATCATCACTCCCACGTTCCATTTTAAGATTTTGGAGCAGTTCGTGGAGATATTTGAGCAGCAGAGTGCAGTGATGGTGCAGAAATTGAAGGAGCGTGCCGATGGTAAAACACCCATAGATATATTCCCGGTAATATGTTTGACCGCATTGGATATCATAGCTGGTTAGTACCTCGTCATTTGATTAGCAATCTTTTGCATTCATTGAAATTATCATTTAGAAACCGCCATGGGCACAAAAATCAATGCACAAATGAATCCTGATTTACCGTACGTTAAAGCTGTCAGAGAGTAAGTTTCATGGTCTTTGAATCTCTAGCACATTGTAAAGCATTTCAGATTCTTGTTTTCTTTTAAGAGTCACCGACATTATGACTAAGCGTTTCATCAACGTTTGGCAACGGGTCGATTTGCTCCATAGGCTTTTTAAGCCGGATCAAGCCAAGCGTCAGGATGGGGCAATTAGAACGATGCATGAATTCACGGAGAACATAATCGAACAGCGCCGTCAGACTTTGGTGGAGGGTAAGACTATCGACCAGGACACAGATATCGATGATTTGGGCCAAAAGCGTAGAATGGCCTTGCTGGATGTGTTGCTTCAATCGACAGTTGATGGCGCACCGTTAAGCAATTATGATATACGCGAAGAGGTTGACACCTTTATGTTTGAAGGCCATGATACTACCACTAGCGCTATTTCGTTTTGCCTGTACGAGATTTCCAGGCATCCACACGTCCAGCAGCAACTGGTGCAAGAAATTAACGAATTGGTGGGCACTGAGAACAAGGATCGAGGCTTGACATTGCGTGATTACGGCGAACTAAACTTTCTTCAGTGTGTGATAAAAGAGTCGCTAAGGTTGCATCCTCCAGTTCCTCTGATTGGCCGCCATTTTGACGAGGACGTGGAAATACGTAAGTGAATGAATTGCCAAGTTTCTGCTTTTGGAGTCTTCCCATCTGCAAGAAGTACATTACATATATTATTAATATGAAATGTTAGTATTGAGTCTAATATAATCACACTATCTACCTTAATTTCTACGATAGGTGGCAAGCGAATTCCCGCCGGCAGCAACTATACCGTTGGCATCTACGTCTTGCTCCGTGATCCAGAGTATTTTGAAGACCCCGACAGCTTCAAGCCTGAGCGTTTCCTTGACGAATCGAAAACGCATCCTTATGCCTACATTCCTTTCTCAGCGGGCCCGCGCAACTGCATCGGGCAAAAGTTTGCCATGCTGGAGATGAAGAGCACCATTAGCCATTTGCTGCGCCACTTCGAGCTGTTGCCTCTAGGCCCGGCTGTTCGGCCCCAAATTAACCTTGTTCTCCGTTCAGCCAATGGAGTACATTTGGGCCTGAAGTTGCGTGCTCCGTAGATAAGTTAAGGGCTTCATTCGTCTATCCCGTGGCTGTCTATAAAAACATGTGTGTTTAACTTAATTGTGTTGCATGTAGATAAATGCATGCCTCTGTTAATGCTTGGGTTGATTGGTAATGCAAACTTAACAGCTGGTTTTGTTTTTATTCTGCTGCCCTCTCAGCTGTTTAGTTGGCGGGGGCTGTGAAAAATGTTAATAGCATTGCCTGAATATTGTAAAATAGTTTGCATTCAACATTGCTTGAAATCGCTATATACATAGTTATTTGAGAGCAATCTGGACGGACGCGCCTTCATTTGTCTCTCGATGCATACATATGTATGCTGAAAGCTCCATGGACGGGTTTTAGTTGAATAGCCCTAAAAACTTATGTAAGTACTATTTCCACTTGAATGCACTTGCATCTGAAAATAAATATAGCACGTTTTATGGCTTCGGGTAGCTACTGAAACTTCGAAAACATTCATTATAATTGTAGAGCCTAGTTCAAAACAATAAACGCTCCTGAACGTTATATTGCTGTTTCAATTCATGCAATTTAATGCTTATCTGGTAATGTAAATTTTAACGGTTAAAAACTTGTATGGAAAATTATTTGCTATCTGAAAAATATTTACTACTATATTTTGCATGTAGATATCTGAAATCCTACTCTTCCGAGTGACTTTCATATTTTGAATTGTACGGAATAACAGTCGGTTTTTTGAATGCTTCTGTAATGCACGCAGCCTTTTAACAATCAAGTGGATTTTAAATAAATGGATTGTGGGGATTTTTGCATGGAACTTTTTCTTATTTGTGAGTAAGAGGTGTAACTGGTCTAAATCCTGCCCGTATAAGATAACTTGTTCATCCCACCGGATTAATTGCAGTTTATAAATAAGGTTTTGTGTAAGCATATGATGAATTGCGTCTTATTTATAATATTTATTTAGCATTCTGGCTTTTCCAATTTATTGAATCTCAAGCTTGTTCTTCCAACTGCAAATATTCTTTTGAAGTATTAATTCTCCATACTGATGCAAAATTATATTTATAAACTACATACACATATGTATTTAAATTACTGAACCTTCCATTCCGCGTTAATTTGATAAGAAATGTATACATTAAAGTATAATAATGTATGTATTTGTAAGCGCAATAGATACTTACCCATTATAAGAAAGGCTGGTGTAATTGGTTCTTCAGACTAGTTAACTGCAGCATGCTGCTGATACTGGCTGGAAGTTTGCTGCTTACATGGCTAATCCGCCTGGTTGTGGGTCTGGCGCTGCGAGAGCGACGACATCAACTCAAGGGTATATTGCCAAATGTTTCAGCGATACCACTAATAGGTGCCGCATTCCAAATGCGTCACTTTCAGCCGGATAGTAAGTATTGCAGATCGTTCTTCAGTTCTTAATGAATGGCTACATGGCCGCTGCTCATTACAGATTTGCACGAAAAATTTGCTGAGTACGTACAGCGCTATGGAAAAAGCTTTATGGCCACCATCTTTGGTCATATTGTGATCATCACCGTAGAGCCACGATTTGTAGATTCCTTGCTGTTGAGTCAACAGCATGTGCGGAAAGCTACTATTTATGGAGCCTTACGCGGCTGGCTGGGCAATGGACTTCTGCTGAGTCGGGGCGAATCCTGGCACACCATGCGCAAGATCATAACGCCCACATTTCATTTTAACATACTCGAACAATTTATTGAGGTATTCAACAGACAATGTACAGTGCTGGTTGACAAACTTCGGCCTCTGTCTGATGGCAGGAAAGTGGTGAATATTTATCCCTACATTGGACTGGCAGCGCTGGACATAATCAGTGAAACGGCAATGGGAGTGAGCATAAATGCACAGCTAAATGCTAACTCCGATGTGGTGCAGGCTGTTAAGGAGTGGGTCGTTAATTAGGAAACAAACAATTTATTGTTTAAACTCACCTGCTATTTATTTGCAGCGTGACTAACGTACTGGCCACACGCTTTATGCGACCACATCTACTACCACCTCTACTACTTCGGCTCTGCTGGCCTAGTGGATATCGAAAGTTGACAACCGGTGTGCAATGCTTACGTGACTTCACTGACAACATCATACAACAGAGGCGCCGGTTGCTGCAACAGGGTCATGAATTCGAGCCGGGACGGCGTGCTCCTCTATTGGACACGCTGCTGAAGGCAACGATGCATGATGCACCGCTAACTGATGCACAGATACGTGACGAGGTGAGCACGTTTATATTTGAGGGCCACGACACCACTACGGCAGCGACATCTTTTTGCTTGTATCTGCTCTCACGACATGCTTCAGTCCAACAGCGCCTTTTTGCTGAATTGCACGAGCATTTTGGCAATGATTTGCAGCGCGCTGTTGTCTATACGGATTTCGCAAAGCTGCACTATTTACATTGTGTAGTGAAGGAGTCCCTGCGCTTATATCCACCAATACCGGCTGTGGGACGCTGGCTGGAAAAAGATCTCATTGTGGGTATGTACATACATATGTATGTATGTAGGAAAATCTTTAACTAAACACACAATCTGGATTATTTTTGTTAATTACCGATTATATAGGTAACACACACATTCCGGCTGGCGCAAACGTGATTGTGTTGCTTTGGCAACTGCTAAGGGACGAGACGCTCTACAAAGATCCGCTGGTCTTTCGGCCGGAACGCCATTGGCAACAAGAAACTGACCATGAATATAGTATTAATAGCAACATACCCTTCAGTGCAGGCCCACGAAATTGCATAGGTCAACGTTTTGCCTTGTTCGAAGTCAAGACGATGGTTATAAAAATAGTGCAGAATTTTGAACTTCTACCACTAGGTCCAGAAGTGCAGCCGTCAATCAAAATTGTTTTACGCTCCGGTAATGGCGTCAATTTTGGCTTAAGCCATCGGCGCTATAGTTAGCAAATAAAGGTGATAACTGATTTTTAAAAACAGATATTGAACTAATATTAACTATTATTATCCGCGCGAATTGTGTGATACAAATATTTTGAATTGCAAATTTGGCTCTTGCGCGCAAAATGCAAAGGGTGCTACTCGATATTATGACTCATCGGATTTCTTATTCGTTATCGATGTCTTGCTGATGAGGTCTCACTCGATAGCCGCATTTTGCAAAATGCAGCAGATATAACAACGTTTACTAATAAATCCAATATCATCAAGCTGGCTTTCTATTTATGTTTTGTTTTCGATCATTTCTGAAGCCATTCTCGGAAAAATGTTTTTTGAACGATTTCTTATACAAGCGCGAGGCGCACTCAGACGGGTAAGTGATCTGTAATGGAGGAGCTGGATGTCAAATGTACTGATAGGGTTTCTGTTTTTGTATGTTTTCAGTACTTACCTGACCCGGTCTGTAAGTCTGTGACGAAACTCCCTGATCCAATCGAAAAAGTAATGTGTGCAACAAATAAATTGCACATTGTGATTGGCAATGAATCCTGTGATCTAGACTCGGCTGTTTCGGCAATCACGCTTGCCTACATTTACGCCATGCGTAATAAGGAGTATGATTACGTGCCGGTCTTAAACATATCGCGCGGGGACTATATGCTGAAAACAGAAGTGGGTTATTTGTTCAATATGTGCAACATACCGGAGGATATGCTGCTTTTTCGTGATGACTTGCCCCAGAAATTACCCTGCGAAGTAAATGTCATTCTTGTGGATCATCACGTTAGTCCTTTCGCGTCCAATGTAATTGAAGTTCTCGATCACCGCCCTTTAGACGATAGCCCAACAGCAAAGCCAATGCGTTCAGGTTGTGTGCGCCAAATTGAGCCGGAGATTGGTTCTTGCGCCACACTCGTCACTGAGCGTTACTTTGCCGATTCGAACCCTCGCTCTACCACTATAGAGAAGCTGTTACGTTCCACAATCATATTGGATACCATTAACTTTTCACAAGATGCAAAACGTTACTGTGAGCGTGACAAGCAAATGGTCAGGCAACTGGAGCAGTCGCTATATGGTCAAGTAATTGAAAATATTGAGATGCTGAGACTTCAAGTCTTCAACCAACTTACGGCAGCGCGCTCTGACGTTTCCATGCTCACGCTAACAGAAGTCCTGCGCAAGGATATGAAAGTCCTAAAAACTGCAAGTCATGAGGTAATCATGGCAGGAATGCCCTTATTAGTGTATGATTATGTGCAGAAAATTGGAGCTGCAGACGCAATACGTGAGGTTGGTGGTAGCATGAAGCTTTTCATCCTACTGGGAATGCATGTACACCCGCAATCGGGGAAGGTGAATCGTGATATTGGCATAATCTCACTGTCTGGCCATAAGCCACTTTTGGAGCGCGTGAAACGAGCACTGATGCGGGAACGATCGCCAGATTTGAACCTGAAGCCGCACGTAAAAGAACTGGATTTCATGGGTGGTATTTTTTTAGAACAGCATAATATTCAGGCCACACGTAAGCACATTCTGCCCGTGATCAAACGCATGCTGCTGCGAGTGGAGGAAGAACAATCAAACGACGTCTATTTCTTCAAGAGCCGCTTTACAGATGTTGACTGATAAGCAAATCCAATGCATAGAAAGGAATCACCTACCTATGCAAAGGAGCAGCGTGCGTTTAGACAAACCAAACACCAGTCAAAGTGGGCGCAACGAAAAATGTTCCGCAACTATTAATAGATACAAATGTTATTTATTTATTTAAGATACATTTATAAGGATATAATATAAACCAAATTTTAGTGAACTTCTAGCTCTTGTACTTTTTGAAAACATGGCTATATCTACTCCTCGTCTTGTTATATTGTTTACGAACATACAAGTATAAACTTTGCGGTGTTTGCCACGCCTTCTTCTGTGCGTTATATAGCTTGTGTACCTTTTAGTTACAGGGTATGATGACTTCTATAAGAAATACATGAATTGCTTCCATGTTTTCCTCTTTAATTAGTTATATTCAAGAATATGGCATGGTTTCAGTCAGATGTGACTGCACTATGATATATTTGCCAATGTAGTTATATGTTAACAGTTAACAGAAAGATAATTTATTACAAAACAATTCAGCTTTTTTGTGGTTACATTGTTTTATTTCGAAATATATTTATTTATACATTGCAAACTAAAGCTGTGGTTCAGCCTGCTGGCCGTTCACTTCCTCCTGCTGATCCTCACCCATTGCATCGTCCTCACATTCCAGTGTCAGCTCTTCCAACATTTCAGCCAATGTTATTTGAGGTACGTCCGTTTGGATATCGCGAGATAGCTGTTTCTTAGGGTCGCGATAAATATTTATATGACCACGCATATCAGCGTGCTCCTCCAGATCATCCAGGAATTCGTGAAAGTCATGTTTACTGCGCTCATCCGTTGCCTCGTCTGCCAAATGCTGGAGCTTCCAAAGACGCTGGTCTAACCGTGTCTGCCGATCGTAGTGTTTGCGCACAAGTACTACTTCAGGCACCAGCTCCGATGGGAGTTTCTCAAATTCTGCATCATTAATGTTGGCTTCTCCTGTATTATAACCCATGACAGAGTCGCCCACCTTGAGTAAATGGCCCAGGTGTGAACGTGTATGAATTGTATTATCATTGATGCCCAGATCAGAGGCACGCACTACCCAAACATCGCAGAGAACGTGTTTAAACGACAACTGACCCTGGCCTGGGTACGTTTTACGATCTTTATCCAAGATCACCTCCACATCCATTACCACATACTCCACCAACTGTTTGGGATTGCAAATGGCCTCAAAGGGTGCACGGAAATATACCTGAGAGGTCAATTCGGCTATTTGAGCAGTCATTGGATCAATTAGATGTACGCTGCTGGACACACGATTGATAAGGCACACTGGCGAAAGATTTCCCAGTTGATGGCGGAGTTTCTTCGATAGGCAAACAGCACTGTCTTTCGAAACCGGTGCGATTTCCACAGACCACGAGTATTTGTAGTTGTAGTTGTTGCTGTGAATGTCGTGCGAGATGAGACGTTTTGATGTGGTCACTTTGGCTGGTACCATGGTTTGCAAAAAGTCGACCATACGACGCGCATGATTCTCATTCGCATAGTAAAAGTCCAAGCCGCCATGTTGTGACTTAATGCCGAGTGTATTCTCGTGCGCCTTGTGCTTAAGTATCAACTGTTCAAGATAGTAGAAGGTCTTTTTATTCTCGGCCCGTTGGCGCACCTGCACCAAGCAACGCCAAAAATCTTTGGCCTCTGTGCGATGGCAGTCGTTGCACATTTGATTCTGCACTGTAAACTCTACAACAAAGACCTGTTGCAACACCGTCCCACCCGCGATCTCGCCATGCACAGTCAGTTTGACTTTGATACGCTTTGAGTGCTGCTCTGTCCAAATGAATCCCGCATCTACCAGTTTCACATCCTTGAGACCTCTCAGCTTCTTTAAGCATATAGCAAGCAGCTCTCGCGACTCCAGCGATGCTTGTACCCATTCGTCGGGCGGCTGTAAGTACCGTTCACAACTGCGGCAGAAATGCAGCACCGCCTGTTTGGGAATATGCTCTGTGATATCAACGTGATTCCGCAAACAAGCAACACACATGTTAGCTGGGTTTGGCTGAATAGTAACGCCACATTCACAGCAGAGAATCATGGCATCGGAATTTGTGCTGTTGATCTGCCCTAAGGGCGTTACGCCAGCGTAATTGTCCATAATACTTTTTCCGTTGCGTTTCACTCTCCAATTTGTAATTTTATAACGCTTAGTAGAATCACCACAAATTAACACGTGCAGCTGACTTGTTCGATTGCTTAAAACTTTGTATTGAGAAAAAATCGAGTCTTTATATCGATTAGTCGCACAAGTTTAAATAATTACTTTAAAGGCCTAGGCGCCCGACTTCGATTTTTGGACTGGTATAGAATAATTAGTTAAATAACACTGGAGAATACTGAAAGGAATTAAACGGATTTGTAACATAAATAAATGTACATAAATGAAAACTAGCTATGAGAAAATCGCAAAACCAACATAAAAACCGGAAAAATATCTTTTAATTTAATCGATACTTCTTCTACAAACTTATCGAATACACTTTGTCTTTCCCGACAGCCATTTTAATGTTTGTCATATGGAAAACTGAGTCTGTATTGTAAGCACAGAATCTAACAGCACATAAATTTTAAAAATTAAAAATATAGCATGATGGAAGTAGATGAAGAAGAATTCGAAGTGCCATCCTCCAGCAGCAAGGGTGAGAAGAAGCGCTTTGAAGTCAAAAAGGTATGCGGCATTTTTTTGCAAAGTTTTTTTCGCTTTGTCATTTTGCCAAGCCACACAGTTAAATTTAACATACATATTTACATTATTTCTTTTAACAGTGGAATGCTGTAGCGCTCTGGGCTTGGGGTAAGTTTATTTGCATTATAAATGGAAAACGAGGCATGCAAAAGTTGTGTTGTGTTTTCTTTGCTATTTCAACCATACTGACGCCATAAATTTATGCACAATCATGTTTCTAGATATTGTGGTTGACAATTGCGCCATTTGTCGCAATCATATAATGGATCTTTGCATCGAGTGTCAGGCCAATCAAGCGTCGGCCACCAGCGAGGAGTGCACTGTAGCCTGGGGCGTGTGCAACCACGCTTTCCATTTCCACTGCATTTCACGTTGGCTGAAGACACGCCAAGTGTGCCCATTGGACAATCGTGAATGGGATTTCCAGAAGTATGGACACTAAATGCGAATATCGTTCTAAACAGTTGTTGTACAGAATGTACATACGCTTATACATATTTCGTACAATCTACACAACACACGCCGGATGGATTTAGCACATATTTGATTTCATTTAATTAAACATCATACATAAAATTCGCGGCATCAGAAACATGAAGATATCTGATACACTTTATTTTCGTTCATTTCATACATCTGTCTTGTAGAATTAGGCCTTTGTTCTACTGAACAGTGATTAAAATCCTTAGCTTAGTGGAATAATGGTCGATATATGTATGTACCTCTTTATCATTGATCTAAATGCAAATAAAAGGCACTATGCGCATAACGACGTTTAAGCACATAAATGTGAAAGTTTATATTTTGTCATCATTTGTCTATATGATACATTCATGCACATTACATACTTATTGTATGTACATATATGTGCGTGCACCATTGCGTACAGGACTTTAAGTAATATTTGTCAATAAATATAAGTCTCCATTTAAGCTTGGTGCCCCATCGCGAATTAGCTTCAATCTTATAATATGTCAGATTTTATTAAATTATGGAGCTTAATTAGTAAGAGGCATGTAACAAACAAAAAACACTTCAAGTATTAAACTAAGCTGTTGAAAATTGTTGAAATTGTTGCGAATCTCGACCATAACAAAAAAAATCTGCAAATCGATAATCAGTTCAGCATTTACTAATAATAAGCCACTAATACTTGAAAATAAATTAGGATATAAAGCAATGATTTTTTCAGTTTGATCTTTAAAATTGAAATCTTTCAACTTTAAGCATATATGAGAATGTGGGTGGAGAAAAAGGTGTTTATGAAGCACATCCTTTAATGTGGAGCGTGCCAATTGAGATTAAAGTATCAACATAAAAAAGTGTGTGAAGGTGTCAAAGGAGTGAAGCAACACTTCAACATTCATTTAAAAGTAGAAATATAGCTTATTTTATTTAAAATAAGATTTATCGACGAATTAGTAAGATGAAGGCTAGTAAGGTTAGATAAGATTCAATATTTAATGCAAATCAAACGCATTAAGCTCCACAAACGACGTACCTTCAATCCGAAGCCGCCTACGGCTCACCGGCAAAAAGAAGAAATGAGAACAGAAGCATGCATTTAAAAACTAAATTGTTTAGTTTATTATGGATTTTTGCTGCTGATGCTGCTGTTGTTGTTGCTGTTGTGGCTTACAAAATAATACACAATAGTTACACAATAATGTATGCATTATATATAGATAGGTATAAGTATCCTTTATCGTATGCTACATTATGCCAAACTTAAATATAAATAAAGGTATTTTATAACAATAATAAACATATTTGCATTCTAATTATTTGAATTATTGTTGCTTAAAAAGAATGGGGCATTTTTTAAGTTCTGTATATGAAAGTATTTATGCTAAAACAACATGAAACTAAATGTTACATATGTGTGTATGTATGTAAATAAAATATTTAGGCATACGCAAAATTGCCGATTGTAATCGATTTGATAAGTAAATGAAGTGCAAATTGTTTAAGTAAATATAAATAGTACAATGTATATGTATGTATATATATGTATGTATATGGGGGGAGGGGGTACAGTAAACAACACAACAAACTTTAATAATTATAAACACTGCATTTCATAGGACTGTAATCAATTGACATATAAAATAAAATGCGTGCAAAATACAGAAACTCATTAACCGCACACACTGGCCAAAAAAAAAAAGATTGATAATTCATTTCCATATACATATCTATGTCTGTCTGTTTGTTTGTATGCATGTGTTGCAGCTTTTCTTTCGTTTCGTTTTAATATACATATTTTGATATTATTCTTTATTTATTAAACGGTCATACCTTTCCTCTTTTACTTGTTTATATACATGAATTGCATTTTAAATTTTGTGTTTTTGTTTGAGGCGTCGACTAAAATTTGTTGGAGGTTTTCATCTAGTAATTATATGTATAATTGTATACTCAATACTTACTATATAGAACTATGTAAATTGAGTTATATTTATGTATATAGTATCTATGTATGTATATTGCTATTAGTTGCTGCTTGCTATTGTTTGTTGTTGTTGGCCTTTTTGGATTAACGTGGTCGCTTCAATTTCGAGGCACGCGTTTAAAGTTCTTTTGCATCTCTTTGCATTTATTATTCATTTTATTTGTAATATGTTAATTTTATTTTAAAGGCGCCTAAGAACCGCTCCTAATTGCGCTACGTCTCTGTTTAGATGTATGTATATATTTATTTATTTGTGTGTGTGTGCATTTCATTTAGAATATTGTTTTACATTTCTTGTTTAACAGTTTTAAAATTTTGTATTACAATATGAAACGTTCCGATTCGACTCTCAAGGCCAATTACATTTGTCGTTTGTATGTATGTACGTATGTATTAACAAAATATACAAATAAAATGTTTGTTATTGTAGCTGTAGTTGTTGTTATTGATGTTCGTTGCCACTTTTTGCTGATGTTATGTCGGTTAGCTTGTGTTTATACTGTACATGATTCGTATGCGATTTATTTCTACTCTTAGCTTTTTAACTACCAAATTGCTTTGGATGCTCCTGCTGTTGGTGTTGTTGTCATAATTATTATTGTTGTTGTCGTCTTGCTTGACGCAATTACCATTATCATTATTATTAATTGTATTGTTATTGTTATGGATATTCATATTCATATTAGGCATATTTGCTAGACACATTTGCGCACTTCCTGCCTCTTCAACAATTTGCTTTACACTTGCTTTTTTGCTACACTTATGCTTTAAACATCCATCTGCAATGCAAGAGAGAAAGAAAGGAAAGTAAAGCATAAAGAAAGGTATAATGGAAATACATATTTTTGCAATTAACAAAGGTATCACTGTCCTACTTGTCCTGCCAATCCATTAAAGTTATTTAGGTCCACAATTGTTGGCTAAAATGTTTCGTGGGGTATATTTGCTTTTATGCGCAGGTCTGGGTCGTTTTGTATTTATTTGTTTTGTCCTGTATTCATAACAGTCGCTTTCCTAACAACCTTTGCATAACGCTACTTTGGGCTGGAACTTGATAGCCAATGGGTTCGGGTCACAATGGACATATTCATTGGAACATTGAAATTATGGAAATGGGACAGAAAAGTTTATACCCATGGATACGAAGATATTGAAAAGTTGTGCTTACATGAGTGCGGTGAATGCGTAAAGAAAATTTCGAAAACGCTATGTCGAAATTATATTAATAATAATAATTTTATTCGAAAATTTTGCTAAATTTTTATGCTATATTGCCAATTTCGTAGGAATATTTACAGAAGGCATCCGGAGACTAACGAGGCATACGATTTTAGTATTCCAAAATTGAAAAATTCATCCACCTCTCATGTAGACAAGCTAGAATCTATTGAACAGTTAATTGCCACTCTCACGCTTGTAAATATATAAAATCATATGGTTTAAAAGTAAATAAACTGTAACATTAGTACACGTAATCGGTAGAGAACATATATATAAAAAAAATTATATATATATATATATGCTTTATAGCTTAATTCTATGAACTATTTTCAAATGTATATATATATAATTATATATATAAATATATATAAATATATGTATATATATATTTATGTAAAAATAAAATAATTCAGATTTGCCCTTATACTTGGGAATTAAAATAATGCGGATTAGGACTTGAATCACCACTAAACATAGTACGGCTTAATTCATTTGAATTTCGAAATCATGTACAATTGAAGTGCAAATAATCACTAAATGAGGGATTTTTTTTCTATATACAATTCATTGAAGTGGCAAACTAAATTCGATTGTTTGCGCAGTGTGAGGAAAGTTGTATTATTAGTTTTATAATATTTTTGTTTGGGGTTGTTTGCAAAGGTTTATGTTGGTTAGTTAGTTGGTTGGTATAGTGGTCTGCAGCTGGGGCTGGGAGGCTTTTAAATTAGGCAACAGCAGGGGCAACGAACGGTGGTGTTGTTGTTGGCCATAAGAGTAGCAGCCCAAACAATTTGCATGGAGATCAGTCGTTCGTTGGTTATTTGTTATTGTGATGATGATTGTAATGATGGTGATGAAGCTGTTGTTGCTGGTAATGATTGATTGAAGTCGGGGGCTGTTCCATACTATCGAATTGTTGGGGCTGCTGCTGCTGGGTGGTTGTTGTCACTGTTGACTTCGCTTGCTGGAGATTGGCGAAGCTTGTGGGAGCAAGCAGTGCGCACGTTCCAAATGTATGCTTAGGCATTGTCAGAGCTTGAGGCAGAAAGGCGTGGCCAACACCGCCTCCAACTCCAACACTGCTATTAGTGGCTGTCGTCACTGAGGACGACGACGATGAGGAAGTGGATGATGTGATTATGCTGCTGCTCTCTGCTTGGCTACGCTTGGCAGGCACGGTGCTTATAGTCGTGCTCAGAGGCACATATTTTCTCAACTGTGTTGCCGCTCCTGGGGACTGATATTCCAAAATCTGGCTGCCGTATTTGCCGTTATAGCTGCCTAACAGACCGCTGCCATTGACCGGGGTCCACACATATTGCTGATGGCTGTTATACAGATATGATGATGACGAACTGCCTGAGGAGGCGGTTGTTGATGTGGGTGGTGACTTGGCACGTCCAAAGAATGCTGTCGAGGAACTAGTGCAGGCCGATTGAAATGAATTGCCGCTGTTGGATGATGTGCTGCTCGATGGCGTCGATGGATTTGATGATAAATGGGCGGGTTGGGATGTGGGTGATGAACAAGCAGCAGTATTAATGCCTTCCCCTTCTCCACCATCGCTACGTATTGTTGGCTCTGTAGTTGTTGTTGTTGTCGTGGCTGCTAATACTGCTGCTACCGAAGGTGAGGCGTCAATGGAGGATGCTGCCGATGAAGTGGTCTGCGATGAGGTGTTGACAGTCATGCTAGTGCCGCCCCCACTGGTTGTGCTTGCTGAGGAGGCATTAAAGGACTCATCGCTGGCACTGATGCCGCTGCTATTGAGCTCATCAATGCCACTGGCAGTTGTTGTTGTTGCTGATGCTGTTGTGGCTGTTGATGGTGGAATGTCTATAGTGTGCGTCTCATTGCCAAATATTAGTCGCAAACGTTTCTTCTGGGGCGTTCCATAGATGCTTAAAACCGACGACTGCACTGTTGGAGGAGGCGAGGGCGACACATCGAGCGCTGTGCGTCGACTGCGTCGCGTTCTTGATGTTATTTCAGTGAATTCGTTACTTCTGGGCTTTCGTCGCTGCTTCCTTCGATTCCCCACCATTTGCCGTTGGCTCTCCCTGCTTTGCTGCTGCTGCTGTTGTTGCAAATAGTGCATATATTGGCGATCTGTTTCACTCCCAACTCCATCCTCAGCTTCCTCCACGACATCTTCATCATCGTCATCTGCAGCAGCCTCAGCATCAGCATCAACATCGGCATCATCATCGTCATCATCATCGTTACCATGTTCGGAAATACCTTCCATGCGCAGTACTTCATACTCAATCGGCGTTTCCATGCCTGCACCGCTGCTGTTGGTGCTGTTGGTAGCGCTGCTGTTCAGATTATTGCTATCAGCGTTGGTTGCATTGGCCGCATTTGCATTGCCACTGCCATTGTGCAGTCCATGCTGGCCCTCGTCGCTAAGACTGGTGCCCAGCTCAATGACCTCATCGAGTATGGGCGAACGTTTCATGCGTAGCGTCAGCTTTAAGCGCCGCTCCGGCGTTTTCAGCAATGGTTCTACCTGGCTGCTTACTGATGTAGTCGCTGTCTGCTGAGTCTGTTGCTGCTGTTGTCGCTTTCTTTGCACTGCCGCACCGCCCATTGCTTCGCTGTGTATGTGCTCGGCGGCGATTAAAGCGGCCGCCCGTCTACTGCGTTTCTGCTTCGTGTGCTCCCCATGTGGTGGTTGTCTGCCACAGCCAGCGTGCTCGAAGCTGGCCATCAGGTTCTTTTTGTATGCCGGACTGCCGCTGCCACTTGTACTGCCTATTTTAAAGCCTCCGACCCCCGCTACTGTCTCCTGTACGTGTGTCTGTGCCCGTTGTTGTTGTTCGTCCTGCGTCTGCTGTGGTTGTTGTTGTTGAAGGTTGTCGAGAGCATCCCCTAGCGTCGCTGTTGCCACCGAGGACGTGGATGAGCATGTAAACGAGGGTGTGGGCGAACAGATTGATGGCTCAGGGTTGGGTGTGCTTGTTGCTGGCATCGCCATCTCTATCGCCTCTACCGTCGTTGTTACCACCTCACCGCACGTCTTCAGCTTGGCAGCATTCAGCTTACCACTAAATCTACCACTAAGATTATGCCTACTGCTATTATTACTATTATTATTATTACAATTTGTAATCGTTGCTTTGCTGTTGCTGCTATTGTTACAGTTGCTGTTGTTATTATGGGCAGTTGTAGTTGTTGTCACATCATTCTGATGTTGTTGCTTCTGCTGCTGCTGAAGCTGTAAGCGCACTGCGCTATTACGCGTTATACGTTTCTCCGGGGGCTGTTGCGGCTGCTGGTCATCACTTGATGGTGCGGGTGGTGCTACAGTGACAGTGCTTGCATTGCACAAATACGATTTGTTGGCCTGCTCTGCATCACTGCCCTCACTATCCGACATATATTTGTTACGGAGCTTGGACAGGTCCGCGATTTCATTGCCGTTATTGAGGCTATAGCCGCTGGATGCATTGCTGCTGTTACTGCTGCTAATGCCATTGCCACCGCCACCACCTTCACCACAGACGCTGCTGTTGCTGCTTGTGCTGCCACTGCTTTTGTCCTTTTGACTGGATGTCTTTCGTTCGCTGCGTCGCAAGTGCTTCTGATGCTGATGATGCAGTGCAGCAGCGACTGCCGCTGGTTTGCAACGTGGCACCAGGACCACCGCTGATTTGGCCACTACGGGCGCTGGTGTTACTGCCACTGCGGCTTTGACACTGGCACCATTGTATGATACCTCGTCCGTGGATGCAGTAGAGATGGTGCTGCTCGTGCTATTTACACGCATGGATTTTCGCAATGTGCTCGCCCTACCATTGACCTCGGTAGCATTAGGCGGTGGTTTTTGCATAGCCGTTGCAGTGGCCACTGCTGCGGTGGCATCGGCACCAGTGCTCGCATGATGCTGCTGATGGTGGTGGTGATGATGGTGATGATGAAACTGCTGCTGTTGCTGATACGCTGCATTGGCCATGATCATTTCAGCATCGTATTTTGTCATGCCCTTCTGACGCAACTCCTTCATGGTTAGTGGCGAGACCACAACGTTGGGCGGTTTTTTATCCATGAGCGCCACTGCAGCAACTGCAATACTGGCACCTGCCATTTGCAGATGATCCTTCTGACCTTTGTTATTGGTGCTGTTTGTGGTGATAATCGATCCACTTCCACCACCACCCCCACTGGCATTGCTGTCGGTGGTACCTGTCGAATCATTTGTGTTGCTGTTGCTGTTCGACGTGCTGTTTGTGCTGTTGGCACGACTCTTCATGCGATTAATGCGATTGTCTGTCTCACGCAGACGGTAGCCACCACCAGTGCAGGCTCCAACGACACCAGCGCCTACGCCCAGTCCCGAGCTCAGGCCTAACATTAGGCCTGTACCTCCATCCAGATGGCCACCATTGTGCTTGCCCGCAAAGGCACCCGTTCCACGTCTCTCACAGGTCTCGCACTCACAGTAGCGATTGCTATCGCCAAAGAAATCTTCGCCATAAAAGCACGTGATCTCCTCACCCACCTCGATGTCGCGCAACACTTTAACGCAGGCAGTGTCACGACCTGTCGCCAGGAATTTGCAATTGGCGCGACAATCGTGATTGATATAGGCGGCTGGTCCAAGCCACAGTTGGGCGCAGTTCTTGCGACAGCTGTACATGACGGAGAAATCGTTTTTTCCGGAATGCAACAGTGCCGCCTCCTCGGCCTCAGTCAGCTCGGCAATGCAGCCAACCAGACATTCAATTTTGTCGTTCTTGGACCAACGCTTAGTTGAGCTTATCTTCGCACCCCGCTGTTCTTCAAGTGAATAGCGATAACAGGCCTCAATGGCAAATCCACTATCCTTGTCAAAGACGCGTAGATAGCGCACGATCTGTAAAAAATGATTTGAGCTGATTTAAAAATGCATGGCTTAAAGTAGTAAACAAAATCAATGCTGTCGCACGATTTGATCAATGCCCCAACTATGGGACAGTAGGAACACCCAGTAACCGACAGTGACTAATAGCTAATAGTTAAGCGGTGACTATCATTGGCCAGTGATAAGATCATGAAGCTCAGTAAAATTGAAATTAAATATTAACCGAAATCAAATGTTTTCCATCCAATCCACTTAACAAAAATGTTTTCTTTTGTAACAGCTTTCTATAATTTATGTACATACATGTTCTGGAAAAAGTCCAGTTTCGTAAAAGAACATATCAGTCCCATAAAATTCTTCTTGCGTATATTGATATTCAATTTCAAAATTATTAAAATAACAAATGAATCTATATTTATTTTAATAATTTTTAAAAAGTTTTTCTTGGATATTTTACAAATCTGATACATGAAGATCTTTGATGATGTAATTAGTTTAAATTATCATTTTTTGCTATCGTTGTTTCATTTGATTTGTAGAGCAGTCGTAGAGCAGGTTTACTTACATGATCATGCAGCCGCTTTGTGGCAATCTTGTTTTTGTTCTTAAGATGACGCGGTATCCAGGGTCCATCGTAAATGCGCTGTATGGCCACATCGTAGTTCTGTGTCTGTATAAACTCATCCACAATGGCCTTCAGCTGTTGTGTGTCCACTTTAAGCGGTCGAAAGCGTATATTCATTTTGTGCGTCTGGAAACCCAGGTGGGGATCCAATATTAGCGATGTGGCCAAATCGTCATTTTCGGACAGCTCACGCGGCGACATGCCCGTCGATTGGGAGAGACGACTGACGGCGCTATTGGCAATGCTGCCGTTGCAACCGTTAAGCATGCCACTGTAACCAACAGAGCTGCCATATGACGATGATAATGATGATGAGGAGGCAGTTGTTCCTGTTGCTGACGAGGACGACACGCAATGCTGATGAGGCTGGTGGTTCGTCGGATGATGATGGTGGTGGTGTTGCTGTTGCTGATGTGGAGCGTGCGTAGCATTGTTTGCTGATGCATTGGAGGCGGTACTTGATGTTTTATGCGACATTGACGACGAAACCGTCGCCGCTGTTGCGGGTATAGCTGTCCCTCCTCCCGTTACCGTTGAGGAGGATACTGTTATTGAAGACGTTGCGCTGGTGGTGTTGATACTGCTATCGCTATTATTTATATTGCTGGGCGCGCTATTGTTGCCTCCGCTTGTAAATCTGCTGCCAGTTTCACTGCGTCGCGTATGATTCGAACCGACGACCATTCTGAGGTGCAGTCTGGAAATTAAAAATGGACGAGAACTCAATATTAAAATAACATTTGCCCAGCTCTCTTGCATTTTTTAAACAAAGGTCATAAAATATTTAATTTCATGCACTGTTGGCGTCGGAATAACGAAAATTAAACAGCTGTTCGCATTTATTGGCTGTTATTTTTCTCTTATCTGGCAACAGCTGCAAATGTGTGCAGCGTTGCCAAGCCGCAAGTGGGTGGCGTGGGAGAGCGATCAAATAAAACACTTGTAATGTGAGCCCGGCTAAATTAAATGAAAAGCGAGCTGTACACATACATATATAAATACATATGTAATTATACACCACCTAATCATTTTGAAAAAATAAACATTATATTATCTACTCGCTAATTTATTTCAAATAATTTGCGCTGCAGCAACCAACTAAATTTTTGTTTGTTAATGGCTTGAAGCACATGGCACGTAAAATGTAACCTCTTCAGCTTACACTGGGCTTGTCTCTTACATGAAAGTGAGCGAGATAGCAATAGGTTTGCACTCACATGGACTAGGACAAGACTTATACCCCTTCCCACAAATAACACAGACGCAGCAACAAAGCTCAATTGCTGATGATAAGCGCACCACATATTTTGGGGGTTGCATACCCACCCACACAAAAACGCAAATCAAGAGTCAAGAGAGGAGACACGCTAATCAGCTGTTTTTTGTGGTATGAGTAACAGAAAATTTGAGACTCTGTAAAACTCTTTTATTGCAATAGTAAAAATTCAAATTTGCGACTCTACAATGTGGGTGAAATTTTAAATAGTGCGATGAGCTTGATTTTAAGTTCCATAAATTTAGTTGCGGGTAGATTGCTTTCATAGAATACGGACAATAACACAAACATCAATGCGCATTCTCTTTCTCTCTGCTAGTACATACATATATACACACACACATGTGCGAAAAAATCAATTAACATGAAGCACATGTGTAATAAAAGCGTCGACGTCAACGTTGTCATATCGATCCACAAATGTGGAAATTTTCTTGGTCCAAGAATCGGCAGCAATTTGAGTACACACATACATACATGCTTTACACAACCAAATACACAATCATACATACATACACTTACAAAGCCAATAAGAATATTTAAAAAACGAACGCCTGGCTTGCGTCTGCATTTAGTATTATAATGCATTTAAATGTTGTGTAAAATAAAATCTAAAATCAAATGAAGAGCCATTTCACTATCGATTTGCGTGCGTTGCGCCCGTGTATTTGTATTTTTTTCGTGTTCCAACAATTGTGTGACTGAGAAGCTGCGCGGCTTGGCGGCGTTACAACAATGACTGACGGCAAGCACCGAGGTAGCGGCGGCGTCTGCGTTAGGGTTGTGGGTGTAGGTGAGAGGGTGTGAGTGGTAGCAGTGCGTGTGTATGAAAGTACCAGGCACTGCATACATAAGTGTACAATTTATTTGGATAGCAACGAGAAGTTGTAAACATTTAATGGACACCTAACTATTGGTAATTGCAACAACCACATGTATATACATACATATGTATATATATGTGTAAAATTGTTGTTGCTGGTCAATATTTCTGAATGAATCCTGATGTGCAAATTGTCCGGACAACCACGGGAGAGGCGACGAAAGCGGTGGAGGCACTCAGCTGTTTATAAAAGACACATGCACACACCAACAAACAATAAACACTCACTATGCTTTAATGCAGTGTTAACGAGAGAGATGTCAGTATGCACACACACAAACACAACATACAGACAGACTTACATATGAATAGCTTGTATATGCTTTAAAATGAAAACGAGTAGAGAGTACAAGATTGTTATTTTATAGAAAAATTAATAATGTTAAATATAAAAATGAATTGTGCAGAATAATTATTTATAATAAAATTGCTTTTGTAATTGGGACGTAATTAATTGTTGTTACACTTTGTCAGCAAGTGGCAGCGCCACAGCACATATACATACATAGATATAAAAAACCAACGAGTAGCACACAGCTGAAAATGTCAACAAAGAAAAAAGCAGACAGGGTTGTCATTAGGGAACTAAAATAAAAAAAAACTATGCAAATAATGCAAAAATCGTTGTGTAGCACATTACTTGGCCTTAATTGTTTACCACTTATACATACACATGTACATGACAGCTGCGTAGTGGAAGCAATTGTTATAGCTTTGTGAATAGCACAGAAAACACACATCGTAATGTAAAATGCCAACCCTATGCCTTGTTACATTGGTCGCTCACGGAAGATGGCGTCGCCCATGCATTAAACATTAAAAAAATTTTTTTTTCAGCCCGAGTAATGTTTTACCTTAAGTAAAATATTCACTAATCCTTGCGCGCTTGTCTCCTTGTTCCTCGACTGTTGTTCTTGGCGGTGCTTTGTCGACGTCGTCCAGCAGAGACAGAGAAGACATGCATACACAAAACCAATACATACATGCATACAAGTCGTTCAGGGCTTGATTATTTCGAGTTTAGGTCGCTGTTGTTGCTGTTGTTCTTCTATCCCAATAACGCAATAGGCAGCCGTAGAACAAATCGTACTTTGATTTCGATCTGGTTTATTTATTTTGGCTAATAACAGCGCATTTCTACTCAAAACGATACATTTGATTCCATTGGATTAAAGTGTGCGTCTAGGACGGCTCTGCTGAATGAGTCGGAGTCGTTGTCGCCGCCGTTGTGTTTGTTGAGGACGCGGATGAGGCATTTCATTTTTATGCTGTATTTTTCCCTAATCTTAAAAGTTGCTGTCGGCGCCCGGTGTCCCCCTCGCGAATGCCGTGTCTAGCTTTTGCTACTGGCGTTTCTGTTGGTGCTGCTGCTGCCCGATACAAACGTACACACACAACCGCACACAGCACCACATTTATGTGTACAACACGCATACATATACAACATATGTAGATACATATATTCCTTCGCAACGGCGACGTCGAGCGTGCGGATGTATGTGTGCCTGTATGCCTTCTTTTTTTCTTCTACTTTGCCTTTTTATTACTTTTATTTTTTCATTGGTCTACCAATTTTGTTCCTTAATTTAACGCGACGTCCCATTTTGCAGCGTACACATGCCTATTTAATTATTCTTAACATTATTTAAATTAATGCAATTTACAATATAGTGTTGTTTCAGTTAAGAAAAAAACACGCACACGCACACAACGATTTAAATGAATTTTTATATACTTTTCCGCGTTACAATTCTCCGCGATTTCGAACAAGCATTTATGCACGGCCATCGGCCGTCGGCACGGGGTAAAACAAGAGTGCGCTAGCTATACGTCATATATATGTAAAATGTATATAGTTGTCTCGTTTACATACTCGTATTTGTGCAAAGAATGCTGCCCACCTGCTTATATTTTGATTGGAGCAGGCATGCACTTTGCCTTCTTTATTTGGTTCTATGTTCATTTTCATTTAAATAAAAAAGTTATACCTTTCACAATAGTGAAAATTTCATTAAATCACATGCATGGCAAAATAAAAAGAAATTTGTGGTTACTTAAAGTCCGAACAGGAGCCGCCTGAAAAATATCAGTTGGCAGTGCCATATCGACATTGAATTATCGATAATTTCATGCAGTGCATCGTTTCGGTTCACCTTACCATATACCATCCATCCATTACTCATTATTCGGTTCAGTTCAGCTATTGACAACGGGGTTGAAAAAATTTCAAGTCTTCTAGAAGTTTTGTAATTTCTTTGAAAATAAACAAGGTAAGTAACACTGCATTCACAATTTGCAAAAGCCAACTAAACTTGTGTGTAGTGGTCTGATAAACGCTACTCAAATATAGAATTGCCATAATTTTGTTACGACGCCATAGTGGCGTCCACACATGTAATCTAGCTGTTATTTATATTATTTGTGTGCGCGCAGATGTCCATACTTCATTTTGTGTACATACAAAGGAGCATTCACATACATGCATACACATGTTTATATGTGCAGACACACGCACATAAGTGCTTAAATTGGCGTCGATTCGCGAAATGTACATATTCACTATATATTACTTTTTTTATCGAATCCTCAGAACCCTTCTATAAGATGCCTAACATCAAGTTGCAGTCTTCGGACGAAGAAATCTTTGACACCGACATCCAGATTGCCAAGTGCTCGGGTACTATCAAAACCATGTTGGAGGATTGCGGTATGGAGGACGACGACAATGCCGTGGTGCCATTGCCTAACGTAAATTCGACTATTTTGCGTAAGGTTCTCACCTGGGCTAACTACCACAAAGACGACCCACAGCCCAGTGAGGATGATGAGAACAAGGAGAAACGCACCGACGACATTTCGTCTTGGGATGCCGATTTTCTTAAAGTCGATCAAGGAACACTCTTCGAATTGATCTTGGCTGCAAACTACTTGGATATTAAAGGGTTACTCGAGTTGACCTGCAAGACTGTGGCCAATATGATAAAAGGAAAGACTCCCGAGGAGATCCGCAAGACCTTTAACATCAAAAAGGACTTCACTCCGGCAGAGGAGGAGCAGGTTCGCAAGGAAAATGAATGGTGTGAGGAGAAGTAAAGAGGCAACAAATCATGCGTTCGGGGTTTGCCGTCTGACCTCCGGCTGAGCATGATGTTAGTAATTAATTTTAAATTTAAAATCCAATATTTTTCGTATAATGTCCTCATTTATGTATTAAAAAAGATGAAATTTACTTATGCATAACAATATGAAACAAATAATTACAAAATGGAAAAAAACAGAAAGCAAAAATCGGCAACAAAATTCTATAGATTTTACTGGTGTTTTGATTATTTTCAATCACAAAATTAACAGGAAAAACGGGCATGATGAGGAAGAACCTCATATACTATCGCTGATATTGTTAGTGCATTATTTTTCCCAGGCTGATAACCAAAGTTCTGTCTCAAATATACAGTTGCAGCTCTATCGCTCAGCCTGTATTAATATTTCTCCCTTTATTATTTCTTTTGACATGAGCTGCGTCTAAATTTCTATTCACCAAAAAATGTGAAATGGGGTTGTGTCGGTTTAGATGAACATCGAATTCATTGACGCTATCTTGAATTCGCACAATATAAGAAATTGAAAGACAACTAAGTGGCAGCATGTTGCGTAAGAGCTGCCATGCCGTCAACCGAATGCCATCTAGCGGTTTAAGTAAATAGTTGCCGTACCAATAAATTGAGATCGCCTTGAAACGGTTCGTGGTGAGTTATAAAAGCCACCTAGTGGCTTGTAAGAATTAAACTCAAAAAGAATGACTCAATGAGTTTGAGTGTAGATTTGCCGGTATTGAGTGCGTTTCATTCGTCTCGATGTATAAAATAGTATGTAAAAAACTTTTGTTAGTAGCATTTAATTTAAATCACAATGTTTAATTAAAGGTGGCTGAAAAAAAATGCTCATTTACCTTTCCAGCTTCAATGATTTAGAGAAAAAGCTGGTATTCAGGCGCTCACGCTTTTTCAGCTAATTCAGCAAAGTTACAAGGCAAATTTAATGTTTGTATGGATGTATGTATATACATATGTACATACATATGTATTTATGTATGCATGTCCTTTAGATATGTATGTGACAGTCATTGACTAGTGTGCTAATTGAATTTTCGCAGAAGCTATCAGCATAAGATCGTCTACCGTGTGTGTTTTTGAGTGTCGCGCACTTTGGCAACCGGGGACTTCAGCAGCAGCAACAACAACAACAAGAACCACAAGTGACAGCCATGGAGAGCAGCCAAAGCGCCATCTTGAAGCATCACCACTTGTGAGAAAAACAAAACGAAGCAAAAATTGCTGCAAGGACGACTGCTCATACCCACAAACTAATTAGTTTTTGGTGCTGCAGCTCTTTACGAAGGGCGTGCACAACTATTTACTACAAATAAACATCAAAATCATACAAACAGCTAAATTATGAAGTATACATACATAATGACTAGCGTAATAACTTAAATGTAATCTTGTACTTGTAACGCTACGATAAGTTAATTAATGAATAAAAAATAAATAAATAAATGCTCACATATGCACACTTACCAGAAAAACTATACCATAAGATTATGCCTCCAGTGATATCAGCAGTTAATAAATGAAGTGAAGTAAATGGATTTAGCTAAACATTTCGTAAAAGAGCCTCCAACAGTGTCATTTTAACTGATAACTGGTAGTTCTGCATTTTTTTAATTAATGGCCGTTAATTTTTTATAGAAATATAACGGATTGGGGCTCGATTTATCAAACCTCTCATAATGTTATTTATTTATTTATAAGCCTTATCCTAGCGTCACAAGTATTGGATTACTTTTAAATATTACGCTAGTCATTACAAATTTAATTATATTGAGCTTATTACCTTATGTCATGTTTGTTGAATCCATTGTGAACGATAATTGTTACCTGAACATCTTTCGAGTAAATTTGCAAAAAACTGCCACGAAATTGGGGCTTGGTGCCAGCAGGATAACGATCCAAAACATACAGCCCACAATTTGATGCTTTCGCTGCTTTATAATACCAAAAATCAACTGAATTACCACCGCAACTACTAGACCTGATCTCAAATAAACATCTTTGTGATTTTCTCCTTTACAATATTAAATCGAAGAAAATGCTGAAAAAGATCCTGTGGACTGGAATGGACCACAATAACGCCTGGTGATCTACCAAAATTAGCCCAATCAATTCCAAAATGATAAATACGGGTTGTTAAGCACAAAAGGTACAAATTTTTAAATTATTATTAACAAAAAACTGTTTTCGGTACTTCCTAGTATTTTGTACGCATATATTTCTTGTTGAAAGCCCGCCCTTTTTCTACATTTTTGGTTGTACTAAAGTTAGTTAATGACTTAGATGAATAAAAGATGTATCAAAACAAAGCTAATAAAGCGTTTTATTAATAATAAAAGGAACCGTGGCGATATCTGCACTATATCGTCTATTTCTAGATCGACAAAGTTAGTCGTTGGATGGATGTAACTGGATGTCCATCGATGTCTCTTTATAAAAAATCAATGCATGGTTGATGCATCGCAAAAAAACAACGATGCATCAAAGTTTTAAAAAAAATGAACTTTCCATAGAAAAAGAGGCTCATATTAGGGAGAAAATCAACAGAGTTGTTTTAAATCAAAAATGTTTAAGTATCTAAAGAAGCTGTCATAGTTGTATTTAACTTCATGTTATTAACCAATCGTAATCCTGACTTTTGATGAACTTGTATGGTTTACTTAAATATGAACTTGTTATCTTCAGCTTCAAAAACAAATCGATCCGACGCTTTGCAGTTACGCATTTTAAGCATATTAATTAAATAAAATAAAGATAAATTTCTAAGCAATTTAAAATATATATAACAAAATACACATATGGAAAAAAAATTAAAAGCCATCCAAACAAATGTGACCGTCCAACAAAACATGAAAAATTTTTGATGCTTGGGCAAGAAAAAAAAATCATCGTCCCCGCGCTATATCAATATTTTCATACATCCCTAGTCGGCAGACTAATTTTTTCCATGAGTCGATCATGGCTGCAAAATTCGTGTATCGGTTGGATCGATAACTCACGACATAGTGTGAATTATTTCAGCTTATCAAGGACATACGCAGAGACGATAAAATAGGATACAAATTATTGACAAAGTGAAGGAAATGTAGCAGTGCTATGTTTTGGACTAACAAACTATTTTAAAAAAGCAGAGGCATATCCATTTACAATTACAATTTACAAAAATTACAGGAGAGAGAGAGAGAGAGAGGGAGAATTCTTAATTTTTTAGCTTGCAATACCAATATTGTGTTGTTCTGCATTAATATTTTTTTTAAATTGATATTTCATCATCTGGAGCTGTGAAATCCACTTGCAAGAGGTTTGCAGAGTCATCATTATATTCCCCTTACAAAGGATCATCATTTGTATTTGTATGAGATCCGACGATTCTGAAGCGATCAGCGTGCGAAGGTTTTATCTACAAAGTTTAAATATTCATTCGTCATTTGTTGTGGAACACTAATATCTGACCATCACAGCATCCATTGACTTAACTGTCTAGACATTTCCTTTCGCTATTCATCCAACTGATGAACATTTTGTGAAATATATTGAGGAATTTCTTAGAAAATCATTAAAGGTGAGTTATCTTGTTATAGCTGAAGCACAGCTGACATTATAGTTGCCCGAATCAGAACATTAAACTGGATTTTCAAACCGCTCACGTCCCCATATTTCGTTACGTTTTCTCGAAATCTAGTCCGCAAATCTTTCTAGATATTTATTAATTGGCGTATATAGATAAAGATAACATACTATATACTCATATTGTTATTTAATTGAAGATGCCGCAAATCCTTCTCGAGTCCTCTGATGGCGAAATCTTCCCAGTGGAGGAAAACTTTGCCAAGTTCTCGGGCATCTTCAAAACCATGTTGATGAATTGTAGTAACGAAGATGAAATAGTGCCATTGCCAAAAGTGCACTCGTCAATATTGCGTAAAATTCTCATTTGGGCCGACTACCATAAGAACGATCCGGAGCCCAATGATGATGAAGAAGACTTGCAGAGGCGCACAGACGACATTCCGGAATGGGATGTTGAGTTTCTCAAAGTCGATCAGGCCACGCTCTTTGGACTGCTTGTGGCAGCCAACTACTTGGACATCAAGGAGTTGCTCAAATTAGTCTGCAAGACTGTGGCCAATATGATCAAGGGAAAGAACTCTGAGGAGATTCGCCATATTTTTCACATCAAGAATGATTTGCCTAGAGCCGAGGACCAGGAACAAGATCGTGCGGAATAAGCAGAACTAAGACCTGCTTCCATTTTCAGTCGGACGGGTACACATCGGAGCTTGCCGTCGACTCTCTAATGAGGCGATATTCTCCACGCCTATACGAACATTAGAAAACATAATTCATCAATTACCAAATAATGTTCTTTTTAATCTACTTGTATGACAAATAAACGAAGCATGTAGAATGGGCTCTAAATCAACAAAAATAATATTGTGTAATCGGTTATTTTGAAAACAAATTGTTGGTAAACGGGTCCACCAAGTAAAGCTCGAAATCTTTGCTTACAGTTCTTCTAATTTGGACTCCCTCTCAATTTATTCTTACGGGTTAATGGTCCCCACTGTAGGTGTTTGGAAATTTGTGCAAAATCAACCGAGAACATAGTACAATACGTCTTTAAAAAACAATAGAATTGTTTTTGTGCTCTGTACATGAAACAACCGTACAACCGTAACGCCGTTCGTATATTCATCTACTACAAGTATATCTCGAAGACTATAAGACCTAGGGACACAAAATGTTAGTCCAAGATGCCTTATATGAATACGCAGCATATATGTATGTATTTCGGAATTTTCCAAGGAGGTAAATCAGTCAATCCTATTTTTATACCCTGTACCCGTAGGGTAAAAAGGGTATATTAGGTATGTGCAAAGTATGTAACATGCAGAAGGAAGCATCTCCGACCCCATAAAGTATATATATTCTGAATCAGCATGACGAGAGAAATCGATCTAGACATGTCCATCCGTCTGTCCGTCCGTCTGTCCGTCTGGATGAACGCAAGGATCTCAGAAACTATAAAAGCTGGAATAACCAAAGTTAGCGTCCAGATTCTCCTAGGTCCGAGAAAGGACGAGTTTATTTTATTTTTTGGAATTTTCCCCCCCTTCCCCCGCTACAGAATTTCGTCAATAGCGTCCACATTTCAAATGCTACTTAAACCACATAATTTATATATAATTGTCTACTG